CTGAAAGCAGCACTTCCCTGCCTCGCGGGGAGCCTTACGGCTTAATCCATTGTTTGTAAAGCTCTTTAAGATCCTTGTTTGGAAGCACTAGAGTCTGGAGGATTAAAAACAATTTATTTTTGTGTATCTTGTATAATGCGCATCTCAGAGGCTTGCCAAGGAAGGAGGAGCTGCGAGGCAGCCAGCGAAGGCAGGTCGGGAGGTAAACAGGAGGCAGCAGGGGAGAACAAAGGGGGAATGGCAGAGAGGGGCTGGGCGCTGCGGGCAGGGCTGGCCGTGCTGTGCTGCCGTCCTGCAGATCCCAGCACAGAGCCCTGGGGATGGAACCGTGATCTGCTGGGCGGTGCTGCTCCCCCTGCTCGGCCTCGTGGGGTGAACCCCGTCCCACTGTTATGGAGAGCTGGGCTGGGGGCTGCGCTGCTGCGGGCGCAGCGGTGTCTGCGTGGTGATTCATGGCTGCGCCCAGCTGCAGCCTGGGCACCGTGTGGGTGTGCTGCCACGTGTGGCATGCTGCGCGTTCCCAACGCAGCGCATTCACAGCGTGAGGCATTCACAGCACTGCTCCCAATGGGGTGCATTCCTAACGCTGTGCATTCACAGCGCCGTGCGTTCATTCCCAACACAGAGCGTTCCCAACGCTGTGCGTTCCCAGCACGTGTGTCCCCCCACGGATTGTTTGGAGCTGCCATGTTGTGCTGTGCTCCCACTGCTTTGGGCTGCAGGTCCCAGCCTGGGGCTGTCACACCACCGCCGTCCCGCTTTGCACGGGATGCCCAAGTGCTCAGTGCTGCACTGCTGTGGTTGGAGGAGTGGGATTCTGATGGCTTCCTCGTGCTCAGGGCTGGAAACACAGCGCTGTGGCTCAGTGAGCAGCAGGCCAGGGCAGCTGTGCCTGCAGAGCCATCCAGCAGGAGCTGCAGGAAGAGCACTGCTGTGAGAGCAGTGAGCGTGTGGCCGCGGCAGGCCCTGCATCCCTGCAGTGCTGGGGTTTGTTAGGCGCTGCCTTGGTTTTTTATCTGCTGCAGTTGCTTTGCATCGGTGCAGCGTGGAAGCAGAAGGAACTCGAGGAAGTTCTGTCCCTGCTGGGCTGTTTGCTAAGATGCCGCAGCCATCCTTCTGGCCTCGAAAGTGATAAACAGTATTAATTTGCATTATTTCCTATTTTTGCTGTTCCGAGTTCAGTTGCCTCCCTTTCAACTGTCGATCTGTGTCCTGCCCCATAACTCTGCAGGGCCACCACTTCTGTGCCCGCAGGGACCCCGCCGCGCCGGCTGGAGCTTTTCTCTCCAGGTGTATTTCTCCCTTTGTTCTCCTGATGGTGCAACTATTGCGTAGTTTTAAATAAAGATTATTTTTAGTCCCTTGAACCCCCAGAAGTGATGCATAGCAGCTTTGAACTGCGTTTTCTCTTGTGTGGCAGGGAGTGGTTTCAGACCTGATACCAGCTTTCCCTCCTGGTGACCCAGTGGCCGTGCTGGGAGCAGTGTGGCCGTGCTGGGAGCAGTGTGGCTGTGCTGGGAGCAGCATGGCCCTGGAGCCACCCAGTGCATGCACACCACAGCCAGACCCAGGGAGCAGGGATTAGCGCAAGGCTCCTCCAGTGCCGGGGCAGGAGGGGTTGAGCAATGCAAGAGAATCATTAATTCCTTGGGGTTAATCCTTGGCACATGCAGAGCCTCTGGAGCTCCGTCTCTACAGTTATTTTCATGGAGCTTCGCCGCCAACACCAGGAGCTGCTGGAAGGCAGCTGGGCTCCCATTGGTGTCTGTGCAGGGCTGCAGGGTGCTGTGGTGGGCAGAAGCACTGTGGTTGCTGTAGCAAAGGGCAGGGGCTGATTTGGAGCTGCAGTGAGCTGCGTGCTGCTGCATGGGGCTGTGCCTTGTGAGGGCTGCAGGTGGGAGGGACACGCAGCATTCACACAGAGGAGGCCTGCTCTGCTCAGCAGCTTTTTGGGCGAGCAGCTGCAGGGCTGCGTGCTGCATCCCCGGGGCCGTGCACGACCATGGCACAGAGCATCCTCCTCCTCCTGCTTCTCCTCCTCCTGCTCCCTGCCTTGCCATGTGTCTAGGCAGCTCGGTGTGACAGCAGGCCCACGGCACCACACAGCCACTTGTAGGGGAAGACCCCTCAGTAGGGGAGGGCTATGGAGAGGTGTACCAGGGGGCTTCAAACGGGGCACAGCCTGGGCACCGTGCTCAGCCCCACACAGCATGTTTCTGTTCCTTGTGCAGGGATGTGTGGATGTGCTATTGCTTGAAGGGCTGAATTACAAACCCTTAGCAGCCTTCTCTCAGCGTGTGGTTTTAATTGGAGCTTCAACACGCTCGTTTGGATCCATCCTTTGTCGCTTGCAGCTGGGGCAAGGTGACCAGCATGGTGCTGCCTGGGCAGCACTGGGTACCTTGCATGCACTGCTGTGCTGCCCCATGGTCCCGTGCTGCCCTTTAGCTCTGTGCTACCCCATGGCCCTGTGCTCCCATGGGCATGGCACTGCCATGGGGTGAGCAGAGAGGGGCCACCCCCCTGTAAAGTGCATCCCAGCTCCAGCCCTAACGTGGCGAGAGGGGGAGCGAGGGAAGGGAACAACAGCATTAGCGGATGTAGAAGTAGCTGGAATGAGAAGCTTTTGTGCCATTAATAACAGCTCTGGCTGGCAGCCAAAGCTCGGAGTGTGGGATTAGCCTGAACAATCAAGACTGCGGGATCAAAACAAGGAGGCAGGAACAGCGAGGTCACGCTGCTGCCATCTGCGCTGCCGCAGTGGTGGGAGGGAGCGGAAGAGGGGGCCGAGCAGCGGGCGGCTGCGGGGAGGAATGGATGGGGCGGCTCAGGGCTCAGTGCTGCCCATTCCCCATCGCCCCCCATTCCCCATCGCCCCCCATTCCTCATCACCCCCCGTTCCCCATCGCCCCCCAGCCCTTTGGTTTTGGCGATTGTGCCGAAATCGGCGTCGCCACGGAGAATGGCACCTGGTGGTCGAGGCAGGGCTGGTGGCCGGGCGCTGAGTTGCAGGCAGCTCCCCAGGATGCGCTGCTGCTTTCGGTGCCCATCAGTGGGTTCCTGCTGAAGGGGGGCCGTGGGGGCAGCCCCTGTTCTGCACCCTGCTCTCCATTGGGTCTGCCCGCGGTGCCGGCTGGGAGCGGCACATGGCAGCACTCGGAGCGTTCACGTTCTGCTCGTCTCCTTCCCCGTGACCCAGTAAATGTAACCGTCCTGCGAACGTAAATACAGAGCTGGGCGCAGAGGCAGCGCCGTGCCCCACAAACAGCTCCCAGCTCCGGCTAAAAATATCAGCGCACAGTGACTCCCAGGCATTCTTTTGTCTGAATGCTTTTGAATTCCCTAATTGAAGTTGGTTGGAGGGCAGCGCACCAGTTTCCTGAATAGCTTAGATCTTGATTGTGAGCTAAAAAACAAGAGCAGAACTGCTTTTCCTTTGTGCGCTCCTGTTTATGTCGCTCTCCTCCTCCCTCCCCCCCCCGTTTAATCTCTGGGTTTTTCCCATTGGGTTTTGTGGGGCCGGTGGTGGGATGGGATGCAGCTCTCCGGCCCCAACCCCGCGTGTGCTGCGAGCGGAGCGCAGTGTAGCAGGAAGCGCTGGTAATGGCTCCTAATTGCCTGCTAATAACGAGATCTGTGGGATTTGGCAGCGGTTGGGATATAGTTTTCTCTTGCAATCTGTCTGTTCCCTACAGAAAGAACCAAGTTGGAGTGTTGGTTTGCCAGGGGGAGTGGGATGGGATGGTGAGTGGGGGTTCTGAGCCCCTCTGTCCTGCTGGGGCCATGGGGCTGTCCTGCTCCTGTCCCATCTGTTCCATCTCAGTGTGGAAGCAGAGGAACCCAGGCTGACTTTGGGCTGCACGCAGGGGGTGCTCCCACACCATCCCCCATACATCCAGGGATGGAATTGATGGAGGTTGTGGCGCAGGCGGTTCCAGCTGCTGCTTGGGAGCTGGGCTTTGTCAGGCTCTGTGTGCCAGGAGTTACTTCCCAGCAGTTCAGCAGCAGCAAAACAAGCACATGTTTCTGTCTGCAGGGATGGAATGGCCGCAGTGCTGGTGCCGGTGCAGGGTCGGGGTGTCAGCAGTTTGATGAGGGGAAGGTAGGCTTCTCCTTTTGTCCATGGAGGGGAACCACATCTCAGTGGGTGACACAGCACACGGGACTTGCTGTACGCCAGCAGCCCCCGATTCAGGATTGTGCTCTTGTAGTTTGCACCTGACCAAAGCATTTTCACTCTGCAAACCACAGAGGGAGAGCTCCGGAATGGAAAACTTGATGTGGCCTTATCTGCAGGAATCCGAGCCCTAGCTTCTGTGGCCTCCAAGCTTCCCCTGTCCTTCCAGCAGACCCTCAGCCTCCCTCCCTGTGCATGGAGAAGCCCAGCTGTGTGCTCGCTGCTGCCCAGGGGCTCCCTTATGGCTCCGGTTGCCCCCAGCTCTCCCTCCATGATGTGAGCAGCCCTGCAGGCTTCTGCCGGCACTCCATTAGCAGAGATAAACCAGCCCTGCTTCTGAGCTCACCAGATGTGCCCGCAGCCCTTTGTTTGGCCCCACTGCTGCTGGAGGTGTGGGAGCAGCCCCGCTGCGGGCGCAGTGACCCTGGGAGGCAGCTGCGGGGTCACACCGACATCTGGCACTGCTCACAGCTCTGTGCTGGGCTGCAGCACACTGCTGGGCTGGGCTGAGTGCTGCCTTTCCAGTGAGGCACACATAATAAGAGCAGCAGTTGCAGGAGCTGCCTCACAGCCCTCGCTGCCCGGCTTTCACTTGTCACAAGGCAGGATGCGTTTGCAGGTGTGTTTTGCAGTGATCAGAGTTGAGGATGGAGCTTTGGTGGCAGTGAGAGCTGCGCTAGCTGGCGGTGCTCAGCGGTGCAGATCTGTGCGTGTTCAAAGCCTGCAACTGATGGCACAGTTTCCTTCCTGCCCTGCTGAGCACCCTGCAAGGAAGCCCAGCAGCAGCGCCAGGCTGGCAGCTGGGGGCACCCAGAGCACAACCACCCATGTTGGCAGGAACCTCAACCTCACACCTCGCTGGGAGCGCTTTCTGCTCGGCACCGTGGCACAGGGCTGGTTGCTGCTGGGAGAAGCCTTTCCCTTCTAGGTTTTGCTAAAGGAGCTGTGCTCCTCGTTCACCAGGAACAAAGCGGAGCAGCACTGCAGCGGCTGGCCCACGTCAGGCTGGGCCGTGCCCTTCCTCCAGGCAGCAGCGTGTCCCCACACACAGGAGCGCTCGGTGCCACGTGGCACTGGGATGTGTCCCCAGGACACCCAACCCATCCCACTGCTGCCTGCCGGAGCCTGGTGTGCCTCACAGAGCCGTGGGCTCTCAGCACGGCTGGGTTGAGGTTCCTGCCAACGTGGGTGGTTGTGCTCTGGGTGCCCCCGGCTGCCGGCCTGGCGCTGCTGCTGGGCTTCCTTGCAGGGTGCTCAGCTTCATGAGGTAGATTAGATCCAGGTTCCATTAGAAACCACTGGAAATGGGTTCCCAAGGAGTTCTAAGGTAAATCAATAATGTGTGTAGTCTCCCTGGCTGGATGTGGTGGCTGAGCTTACGGTTCATTTAAGCCTTGGATTTACAGTGCTTCCCAAATGGTTCTGCTGGGGCTGACTGACATCTGGGTCAGACCTGAGACGGAGTTCCTCAGCAGTGCCCAGCAGGTCTGATTTCCTCCCCCTGTCCACGTGGAACGGGGCTGCAGGGCGGTCCCCTCCATGCCCAGCTGGCAGGCGGTGCTATGGGAGCCCAGGGTGCCACTGTCCCCATCCCCATCCCCATCCCTGTTCCCATCCCTGTCACCATCCTCAAACCCTGGCACTGGTGTCTGAGTTGCCCAAACAGGGCTCAGGCTGGGCATGATGCAGGGCCATGGTCAGGGGAATCTGCCGTGCCCTCTTCCCCACGCTGCCATTATTATCAGGTTTTTCCCTGTAGCTCTGTAAGGCGGAGATGGAGCTGCTAGAACAGAATCTATTTTGATTACTAAAACTCCTCGCGATGCTAATTTAGTCAGCTCGTACGTTACAAATGTAGGCTCTGTGTGTTCAAACTGTTCTTCTTTTTTTACTTAATAAGTTCTCGAGATAGTTGCCATGGCAATAATCCTGGATTCTGAGGATACGGACAGGCCCGCAGGAGCCAGCACAGAGGGAGCAGAGCCCGACTGCCTCATGGGGCTCTGAGCAGTGTCCCCGAGTGGTGTCTGGCAGTGCAATGTCTCCACAGCAGCTGGAAGTTCTGCCTTTTGGCAGTGGCAGATGGAGTTTGGGGGCGAGGGGTGAGCTGGTGAGCAGCAGGAGCGGAGCCTGGAGAGCCTCCTCCCCGTGCACCGGGGGAAAAGTGGTGGTTTTGGGGCTGACCGCGTGGCCCCGTAACCAAGATCCCATCTCCCGTGTGCCGGGAGGGACCGCAGCCCTCGCGCATCCTCTTACACCGCTGTGAGTGCATTAAATGAGCGAGCAGAGCGACAGCTGGGCAGGAGACTGCGAACAATGAAGGTAAAGTTGGCTTTCAGCGACGTGACCCTCTCCAGGCTGCACGCCAGAGGACCATAAATAATGGATGGGAGCAAGCACCCCGGCCAGCACGCTAATGTACGGAGCGGCTCAGCGCTGCTTCGCCATTACGTCAGTGCCGCGCCGGGCTCTCCTATCAGCACTGTAATTTTACTGCTTTTAAATAATAAATTGTGCTGGGAACTGAAATACTCCTTTGCCCCATTCAAGCCTACCAGGGTGTGCAAGCACACAGATGAATTTTACATATGGTAAAGATAAATTTTGTATCAGGCTGCAGAAAAATTCCTCACGGCCGGGGCTCGGCCCTGCCAGGCGATGGGCGCAGGGTCCTTGGGCACAGGCCAGCACTGGTGCGTGGGAGAAGTCCCCATGGTGGCTGTGCTGCTGGGAGCCTGAGGGCCGTTTTTGGCTTCTTCCAGCATGGATAGTTGTCCAGGAGCAAAAGAAACTTCTTACAAATGACAGTGTGGTACAGCACAAAGCCTGAGATAACCCAGAGCTTGCTGCAATCCCAGTGCGCTTTTGATGACCTGGGTTTGCAGTGGGGAGGGATGAGGCGTCCCGGTGCCCTCAGGGACCCTTTTTGATGGATGCTGCAGCCTGTTTGTGTGCCTTCCAGCTGGGCTTCTGGAAATGCAATGCAAAAATATCCTGTAACTGTGATGGGAGAATATACGTGCACCAAAGCTGTGCAGGAACTGAGCAGATTGTGTCCCTGTCCCTGTGGTCGGTCAGTGTCCCCATGGCAGCCCCATGCCGTGCCAGCAGGAGCTGCTCAGGAGGTGATGCTCTGTTCACTCACCTTTTGCAGCAGGACTTAAGGAATTGTTATTTCTGAATCAGGAAGTGAGCAATGCCACGGAGCCGCATAAGAAAGTGTAAGCAGCTTACGGCGGATTACAGTGACTGACCACTTGGCTATGCAATTAGATGGGGCGATGGTGTGATAAATCAGGAGCAGCTGCTTACCTGTCCCATGATGCTGTTTATCTCGGGCACGTGCGCTCCACTTTCCTTGGGTGGAAGGGTGCCTGGAGCTTGTTTTGCAAGAGCAAAGTGTCTGTGGGTCCCTTGCAGCCCAAAGCCACTCTGTGATTCTGTGGTGTCATTCCCCAGGCAGGGTGCACAGCTTTGTGTTGGGCTGCCTGAAAATGTGTGGGTTCCACTTGCAGACCATCTGAGTGTAGGTGCTGCAGGGCAGCACGGTGTACAACACACCAGGCCGTGTGTTGATGCTGCCCAGCAGTTCTATGAGACCTCCCATGCCTGGGGACTCTTGGACCCCAATGCACCCCAGAGCCACCCATGCTGTCCTCCTGGGTCCTACATGGGGACCTGTGCTGCAGCTTTGCTTCTCCCCATCCCAGCATCTCGTCAGTGCTTGGCCTGGCAGTGCATCCTTGGCATCCCCAGCAGTGCAGGCACCTTCCCAGTGCTTCTCAACTTCAACCACAGTGTTTACACCTGGCTGCTGCCTTGGTGGTGCGGAGGGCACCCGGTGCCAGGTGGTCCTGGGCCCTTTTTCCTCCTTTTCCTCCTGCCTTAGGAAAGCTGCTCCCTAGGGGCTCAGAGCAAAGCTGTGACGTGGGGTTGGCACCTGGGGGGCACCATGCGCTGACATCAGCTGGCGTGTTGTGGTGTGCTGGTGATCCAGAGGCACTACACAGCTTCCAGATCTAGGTGAGCCGCAGTAAATTGCCTGTAGTTAAAAAATGATGCTGATTTAATTCAAATGCAATAACGATTAACACCGCTGATCTCAACTCGCTGAATTTCCTCGCAGCTCCAATTGATGGGAGAAAACCTCAGCACAGGGAAGGAGGGAGAACTTTGTGCTCGTGCCACTGCGCTGCGTTTGTCTCCTCGTGCATCTGCAGCTCCCAGCAGCTGCAGCTCTGCTTTAGTCCTAGCAGTGAGCAGCACTGTGCCACATCACCTCGTGGTGGGCACCGTCTGTATGGATACGTGCGCACATCTCCGCTGTGCTTGGGCTCCTGCAGTGCTTGTTCCTTACTGGAAGCCTGGGGAATGGCTTTACCTGCATGCCCACAGCCCGTACCCTCACTGCACAGTGCTGCAGATATCCACAGATGTTCCTGCAGGCTTTGGGCAGCCCGAGCTCTGGCTGCTCCTTGTGCCATGCCAGGCCAGCAGTGCGCCGTGCCGCTCGGTGCGCGGTCACCCAGCTCCGAGGGAGCCGGGGATGCTAACGAGTTTGCATACATTGAATTACAGGCAGGGCTTTAATAGTATGGTTTTTAGGCCCTGGCTCCAATCCAACATTTTTTCGTGCTATTATCCTCTATTTACAGCTTTCTGAAATCAGCTGATGTCACCGCACATATGTTTAGAGCCGTTGCTAAGGTGATGAGCTGCAGCGCGGGCACCCACGCAGCCCCAATGAAAGGCTGGGAGCTGCTGGGCAGCGTCTGTTCCACTGCTGCTTCGTGGGGAGTGCTGAGAGCCACGGAGCTGTGCCACCCCGACAGGGACACAGTGGGCACCGTGCAGCGGCTCTGCTGCACCACGGGCTGCGTTTAGGGCTGCAGCTGCTCTTCACCCAGAGGCAGGCAGCGATTGCCCCAAATCCACGCACCCGAAGGCTGGTGCCCATCCCACGTCCCCTTCGTGTCCCTTTGGTGGGGGTCTATCCTACGTCCCCTTTGCGTCCCTGCAGTGGCACATGTGGGTGATGTGTTCCCGTAGGCAGAGCCCATCTCCCATGGAAGCCATCCCCCAGAATGGAAATCAATGGACCATCCTTCCCTGCGGCGAATGGCACCGAGCTGCCATCACGGCAGGGCAGGATCCTGTCCCACGCAGAGCAGGGCTGCTTGTGGTGTGAAATGGAATAGCAGTGCCCAACTGGAGCTGCCCACCAAGATTACGCTGTAGGAGTGTTATGGGGGAAAAGTCCTCTTGGGTTTAAGCTGGTGTGTGAAATGTGTGTGAAAAAAATCCTCACAGTCCGAGGTGTTTCTGTGTCCTTTAGACAAAAAGGAATAAGCAAAATCCGTCTGCCATTTCAGCTGTGAGAAGACGTGGATATGTGTGTATCCATCTCTATTTTCCAGTCCTCCAGTGCACACCAAGCATCTCAAATGATGACAAATGTTTTCTTCCCTGGGACCTCACTGTTCTCCCACGGATATTTCTTTCCTTTTTTTAAAGGATGCTCGCTAGGGCTTGACCTAGTTTGGCTGCCGTCGCGCTGCAAAACGATGCTGCACGCACCCAGCACAGCTCCCTGCATTCCTGCTCGGTGGGCTGGGCAGAAACAGCCTCGCATTGCCCTTTCCATTCCCTTTCTCCTTCCCTCCCCCCTGTAAGGACAGGATTTAGCACGTGGCACAGGTGTTCAGGCACCGCCGCAGGAAGCGAGAGCCTGGGTAGCTAATTTTAGCATAAAATATAAATCTTGTTAATTACTCTCTGTGCAAGGAGCAGAGAGGTGAGGGCCATGGCAAGGCATTTGCCCTGTCTCGCTCCCACCGAAGCTGCCACAGCTGGTGTTGCTGATGGGCAGTGCTGGTGGGCAGTGCTGATGTGCCAGGCCCTATTGCAGGAACGACGCCATGAATGTGGAGCTGACGTTGGGGTGATGCTGTCCCACTCCCTGCTGCTGTGCTGCTGCTGCCACGTGCGGGTCGTGGTGTGGGGCATGGCATGGGGCTGCTCTCAGCAGGGCACTGCTGGGGCTGCCTGATGTGGAGCAGTGAGGCCTGGGGGCACGGCCACATTAGAAAGGAGCTTTTATTAAAATAGTGCATTGGGATGTGGCAGGGTAGGGCTGACCTGCTGGCTGCTGTGCTCTGGGGCCGCTGCAGGGACAGGGCTGTGAGCCAGGCTTGTCCCTGGGGTCCCTGCTGGGCTTGTCCCTGTAGGGTCTCTGCTGGCTTTGTCCCCTACAGGGACTCCGCTGGGCTTGTCTCTGTGGGATCGATGCCAGGCTTATCTTTATAGGGTCTCTACTGGGCTTTGTCCCTGCTGGTCCATGCTGGGTGTATATCTATAGGGTCCCTGCTGGGCTTGTCCCCATAGGGTTGATGCTGGCTTTATCCCTATAGGTCTTGCTGGGCTTCCCTCTGCCTGCCTCCCAGCTGCTCTGTGCAGCACAGCCCTGCCCTGCGCCTTGCTGCAGATGGGGCCTTGCACTGGGGGTGCTGCTTTGCACATCCCCTCACCCCCCCACAGGTCTGGGTTTTTATTCTGGGAATCCAGATATAGCTCCGTGTGATCAAGTGCTCATGACGATGTGGAGTAATCCATACTTGGGGCAAATCCAGGGCTTAAAACTCCTAATAGCCATGTCCTGGGTGCTGCAGCGTGTGCTGCGCCGAGCTGGGGAGTCAAGGTCTTCGCTTCTGATGGTTTAATTTGGACAATGAGTATCACTTAATAGCAGCGTTTTATTACATTCGTTTCACTCTCACTTTTCAAAGAGTTCTTGTGATGCATTCAGGCTCCAGGCCCTTTGGATGCTAATGGACTTCTGCTGGGGTTTTGTTTTTGTTGCTGCGTAGCACCAGGGCTCCCATTCGCCGGGGCTTGGTATGAAGAACGCCCAGCGCCGGACAATGCGCCCATTCACAGCAGCACAATGGAGGTGGAACGGTCCTCACGTAAATCAGCATGCAGAGCCCCATCCGTCCGTCTGTCTGTCCGTTTGCTGGGCTGGGAGTGTGAGTGCTGTGATGCCAAAGGAATGTGGTAGGTGTGCTTGCTGCAGTGCAGCTGTTGGGTTGAGGTGTAAGAAGGTGAGCAGCTCCTTGCCCCGGGCAGCGGGGATCCAGCTGGCAAAGTGCTGCTCCATCTTCTTACTCTTAAAACCAAAACTGGCCTTAGCAAAGTCCCCGCTTTGTAATGTAGTACAGCAGCAAAGTAATGCTGCTGAGCTTCCAGCAGGCTGAGGGGACACGGCTGCTGGAGGTCCCATGGCACAGGGCTGGGGCTGTCAGTGTTTGTCCTCTGCAAGTGGCCACCACTGGGAGCAGCCCTGGGCCAGAGAGCGACTTCACACTGTGCTCCGACCCACACCGACAGCAAACAGCCACGCTTTGTGCTGCTAAAGCTGGGTTTAATCTCTCTCAATCTCAGTCACGAGTCAGAAAGGTGAAGGGGTTCATGGAGGCCAGAATGAATCCAGCCTGGCCCTGTCGGTATGAGCTCCAGGCGCAGGGATGCCGAGCCACGCTGCCATGGGAGGGGAAACCCACAGCTGTGGGCTGGTTTCTACACGGCAAACCAGGAGCTGCCCCTCCTCCCCAGCAGGGCTGGCCATGGCTGGGGGGACTCATGAAAAACACTGAACCACAGTGTCAGTGGAAAGCAGAAAACTGTTAGGGAAACAGGCTGGGAAGTCATTGGAAAGGCCAAAAAATGCATTGAAAGTGCACAGCTCTCTTGTAGGTGTTGGGGAGCAGGGCTCCAGGGAGTGGATCCCAGAGTGCCCACAGGGCTGAGCCTGGACGTGGTGCCCAGCAGTGCTTTGGCTGCAAGCTGTGCTGGGCAGCAGGAGCTCCCAGCCCCCGAGAGGAGAGGAGTGTTTTGGGGATGCTGTGGTGCGCCTGTTTCACAGCCTGGTGGTGCCTGCGGGGCCTTGCCTGGAAACCATGAGGAGTGAGATGGGCTCCATTGCTGGGTGCTTCCTCTGAGATTCCCCCAGGTCTTCCTGAGGTGTCCCACATGGGCAAAGCTTTGGGTCTGCACGGCAGTGGGGTGGATAGAGAGAAACACAGAGCTGTGCGAGGAGGAAGAGAGGTGCTTTGCTGCTCGAGTCCTTCAGGTTTCTGTGCAGTGGGAGCTGGGCGTTGTGTTCTGCTTCCCTGCGCTGAAGCATGGGATGGGGTTGGACCACAAGAGAACAAAACCCTTTGGGGTTACTCTGCAGTGTGTGCTTGCACACGTGCACAGGGACAAGTGCTAGCAGTGTGCAATAGTAATTCACTGCAACAGAACCATGCAAACCACACAGTTGGCAGCACTGGGTTCAGAGCAGGCTGTGCCTGCTGGCACCAGGCTGGGCACAGACAGGGCTGCAGGCAATGTGGGTCCTCATCTGCGGCTCTGGGCTGGGCGGCCGGGGCCGTGGGAACCGATGTGAGCACACAGCCTGGTCCTGCCGTTGCGAAATGCAGCTGTGGCTGCAGAGCAGGAGGCAGCGCGGTGGGAAGCACTGCTGGTGGTTTGGGGCTCGCGTTTATCCCAGCGCCGTGCATCTTGAGAACGGCCCCATGTGGAATGTTCAGAATCCCGAGGCAGCGGGGAAGAGATTTCCTAATATACTCGTGTTAAACAGCAGACTCGGCGTTGTAGAAAAACGTGGAGTTGTCATCGGGACTTTGGAGTGGTGCTGGGCAGGAGATGCTCACAGGGATCACAGGATGGCTTCGGTCCTGGCCTTGTTTGGGAAATAAGAGCGATGGGGGATGCGCTCGTGGTGGAGATGCTGAGAGCTGCTGTAGGAGGGGGGGGTCTGTTTGGCTGCACCCCCCCCCGAGCGCTGTGCAAACCCCTCCCGGCAGGAGCAGGGCATGGCTGCTGTGGGGTCAGGCAGAAGGCAGAGGGCAGGGTCATGGGGGGACCAGGTGCTTCTGTGAACCAGAGAAGAATCCATGCTGAGAGATGAACACAGATGTGAGAGCAGCCAATAGGAGCGACATCCCTGCCCAGACGGTGAGAGCAGGAGGGCAGCGAGTGTCCGAGAGCAGGAGGATGCTGGGTGAGGGCAGGGGGGCTCAGAGCCCAGGGACCCCTTGGAGTGGCACACGGTGCCATGCTGATGGTGATGGCCTGTCGGGTGCCTGGTGACACACAGAGCACAGAGTGGCGACGTGTCATCGTGTAGATGTGATCTGTCTGAGCTGATAACTCAATCTTCAGAGATTTGAGGACACCTGTTTTGGGGATGGAGTCTTCAAAAGGAGCCTGAGACTTACAAAATTTTGTATTTTGACAAGGCTTGTTCTTATTCCAGCCATTACAGACCAAACAAATGTGTTGGGTTTGCGCAAATAGCGTCTGTGCTTCTCACTCCCATCCCTGTCTTTGAATTTTTGTGGTGGGTAAAGCCTGCAGCCGGCTCTCCTCTCGCTGTCTGGTGCTGGAAGACGTCTGCACAATTCCTCTTGCTCCGAGCTGGCAGGATGTGGGCACGCTGCAGTGCACGGATGGAGGGCACCCCAAGGCTTCAGCACGCCACAGCCACGGTGCTGCCATCGCAGCCAGGACCAGATTTGGTCCACGAGGGGCCCAGGGTCACCCAGCAGCCCTCACTGCTCCCAGCACGGCCGTGTTGTGCAATCAGGCAGTGGATGGCTCCTGCCTGTTTCCTTTCCCTTTTGGGACCATCACTTTTGAGGTCCTCTGCAGCCGCGTCTGGTCTCGGTGTGTGGCCTTGGGCTTGGCCTGCCTTGTGCAAAATAAACAACATTTTCAGCTGGTTCCTCGCCCTGAGAAGGGAGAGAAGCGAGGGTGTGCTGGGAGATGTTTCAAGGCTGGAGGCTGCTGAGGGCTCACAGCCGTGCGGTGCCCTGGCTCCATTGTTTCCACGGAGAAGCACACGGGATGCCATTCCACTGCTCTCCCACTCCTGGCTGTGTGACCCACGTGCAGCCGTCCCGTTCGGGAGCCCTGTCGGTTGTTCACAAACCAGGCGCGGTGGCGGCGGCGATGGGCAGCACCGGGGGGCTGCAGGGGGCGGCGACAGATGTGAGCAGAGCCCCCAGCCCGGCCCCCCCTCCTCCGAGCTGCTCCAAATGGAGGGCTGCAGCTCTGCTGATTGTTGTGCAAATGCGCTGCTCCCTGCAAGCTGTCGGGCAGGCGGGCGCTGTGTGCGCACCGAGAGCAGCAGCTTTCCAAGCGTAATGAGTCAGCGAGAGGAACAGAAGGGCGCAGAATTAATCTGGCACCCGTCTGCCTTCTCGCAGTTAAACGGGTTCTCGTGGCTCCACGTGAAGAGGTACCTGCCCTGCTGCACGCAGCCACGAAGGCAGCGAGAGCAGAGTTCTGTGAGGGTCCGTGGTTGGCGTGCAGGGCGTGAAGCCTTCCTAGCATGGTGCTGGGCTGCGTCTGCTGGGAGCAGGACGGCTCCTGGGGCAGAAGGCAGAGCTGAGTGTTTCCGTGTCTTTTACAAAGCACACACAAGCTTCCATTGCTCACCACAAGCCAGCCGAGTTTCCTTTGCTTGGGCTTTTGGTGAGCGTGGAAGTTACCTGTGCTGCATTGAGGGCCAGCAGCTGAAACCGAGGGGAAAAAGCCTTAAACATCACAAATCGGTATCGGCACCTGGCAGAGGCTCTCAGGGCTGTGAATTGCTGCGGCTGCTTCCCCAGGAGCTCACGGCAGTGCTGGGCCACGAGGGCCTGATCCTGGCTGAGAGCGGGGCTGTGCTGAACCCTCGGTGCTTTTTCCAATCGGCCCTCATGGTGTGTGAGCTTTGGCACCTAGGAAGGAGCAGAGCACAGAGATGCAGCCTTCTGCTGCCGCTCCTCGCCTAGGCGATGCTCTCCATCCTCACCGTATGGACATGCTGGGTTTGTGCCCAGCCCCGTGTGCTGCCACCCAGCACCAGGGCACCAGCACAACATGCTCAGCCGTGGGAGGAGGAGGAGGAGAAGAAGGGTGTCCCGGTTCCGGGGTGTCCTCACACTGCCTCTGCTCCATGGCTGCTGCTGCAGGGCTGGGATGGGGCCTGCACATTGCTTCTGAAGTTCCTTAAAGACAAAACCAACCCGCAGACCAACCCCAAGGGCCCTGCGAAGCCTAAGCGAAGCACTGAAATGAATGACGATGGCATTCCTAAGGTCCTTGTAGAACACCACACCCCACCGTCCTGCCCACCCCCCATCCCTGGGGTGCCCAGCCCCCCCGTGCCGGGGTTCCCTCTGCAGGCCGGCGGGCTGCAGGCAGTGCTGCAGGCTGCGGCTCCGCGCCCGCTGCGCTCTCTCTGTTTTCTTTCTCTCTCCCCGCCCACAGGATTCCCAGTCTTGTGATGCAGCTCTGCGTGACTTTGTTCCTGGACCATTTCCTGCAATTGTAGCCGTGCAGAAACCCGGCTGCTGTTAGGAGAAGTTAATGGGAGCAGTGTGTAGCGTTGTCAGGTGGTAATTAGCTGGGGAAGGAGTTTGCAAATGGTTGCTGTTCTGGCTGCTTCAACGTAAGCGCAGGGAAACCTTTGCTGCAGGAGTTACGGGTCGCTGCTCGGAGCACTGCTGCTGCACAGATGCTTTTTAGCCTCTGGTCTCCAGAGAAGAGATATTTTTGTTCACCTAAAAAGGCCTCGCCGGCCTTGGCTGCAGCCCGCTTTTCTGATCCCCGTTCCAGCTCATGCCTCGCCGTATTTCAGATGTCAGCTGCCTTTTCAGCCCTGTAACCAGGCAACACGTGGCAGAGCAGGCAGCGCTTTGTTATTCCCGGCTCGCCGTACCGGGCCGAGGCACAGAGCCGTGCTGCAGCGAGGGGGAGCCCCGGGGAGAGCCCCGCAGTGCTCACCGTGTGTGTGGCTCTGCCCTCCTCCCCAGGTTCCAGAAGCGAGGTTTGGGAGGAGATTCTGTGCTGGAGCAGCAGGAGGCTTTGGGGCAGAGGAGGTTGCTCTCTGTCCGGACACACAGTCTGTCCCAGGCTCCCATGCCATGTTTGCAGGGCAGGTCCCTGCTTGCTGCTGCGATGCGGTGCCATCCTGCTGCTGCCCTGGGTGGGTTCCATGTGGTTTATCCCCCACGAAGGTTTATCCCTGTATCCCCAGTGAATCCATCCTTTTGCCACGCCTGACTTCTCTTTTCCTCTCTCTAACAGACGGTTGATGATGAGGCGATGGCAGCATAAATGAAGATCAAGTAAGGAAGGCAGAACGATGCCCAAGGGTGGGTGTTCTAAAACACCACAGCCAGAAGATTTCTCTCTCAGCAACGACATGGTGGAGAAACAAACGGGGAAAAAGGTAGCGTGGTTTGTTTGTTGCTTTCCTTTGGGAACGCTGCCCCTTGTGCCTGCCACCTCTGAGCTGTGACACCATTTCTCATGTTGGTGCCTTGCCCAGGGCTGTTCTTCCCAACCAAACCTGCTTGCTGGAGCTCTGCCTGCAGGTGAGGTCCCCTCTGCTTTCTCAGCAGCTGTGGTGCTGCCTGGGAAGTGCTGCACCTGCCCAGACCTGTGTTGGTGAGCAATGGGAGTGCGTGGGGAGACTTCCAGTAAGGCTGGGACTGTGTGAGGAGCTCTGCTGAGCGTGGAAGGGCCAAGCAGCACTGTGGTCTCGTGAGTGCTGTGCAAGGGAGGGGATCTTCCTCCTCCTCCTCCCCCCTGCAGCTGCCAGCACAAGGTCTGGGTGCTGAGTGCAGCCTGGCCAGCAGCTGCTCTACACAATAGCTGTTGGGGTTTATTTGAGGGCCTGACTGGGCCTGAGATGAAGTTGTAACAATAAAATCTGAGCGTAAGGGTAAGTGAATACATGCTTTTCCCCTGCTTTCCCACACCCAGATGCTCATTTGCTCCAGACTTACACTGTGCCTCCTCCCTCTCAGCTTTTCTTGGCATCCCCATTGTAGCTTCCAGTGAAGAGAGCTGCGTTCAGGTGTTACCTTTAAATAGAAACTCCTCTGTTGTATTCAGCAATGGAAACAAACATGGCCCACTGTTCCTTTGCCCCCCCTTCACCCCGGCCTTCCCCGGGCAGTGCCTTGTCACTGTGTCTTGTGCTCTCATTCCACCACCCTGCCACGTTATTGACAAAAGGAGGCAAACAACAAACAACCAGAGGAGAAATCCCCAACAGAAGTGTGGCTGTGGCACTGGCAGCATCAGCCCAGTTCCCCTATCCGTGAGTTTGGGTCCATGGCAGAGCCACACTGCAGGGTTCCCACTCCCCTCATTTACCCTGGCCATCGCTGGGCCCGCAGCCTGGGGGCTGTCAGCCGTTCCTTGCTGTGCAGCCCAGCAGCAGCATGGTGCAGGATTCCCCACCCCACACATGACTGTGCTGCTAAACCAGGGGGGCGAGGGCGAGCCCTGCTGCCTGCCCACGGCCAGCATGGGCTGCGGCTCTGTGAAGGCTCCGGAGGCCCCGGGGGGAGCTGGGGCCTGGTCCTGGGGCCTGATACGGTGCGGGGCCTTATAAGGGCTGCTGCTGCCCTGGGCTGCCGGCTACAGCCCGGCCCGAGGGCTGTGCAGAGCTATGCACGCCTTATATGAGGAATTCCGCGGCTCTGCTCTGCCCCACGGCTGTGTGCTCACAGCTGAGGCCCAGCCCAGAGCAGCAGCAAGGAGGAGAGCCCCGCTGGAGCCGCTTCCCACTGCAGCCACATCCTGCACGGCTCGCTGTGAGCTGTGGCTCACAGGTTCTGTGTCAGTGGGAAATGCTTGGCTGAACGGTGGTCACACAGCGTGGAGCAGGAAGGGTTCAGCCTTCGCTCGGGGCTTTCCTCCCTCCTCCCAGGTTCAGTACAGGGAGGCTGTCCCATCGTTGTGCCCGGTCTGTGCTGCAGGTGATGCTGCTCGGGGTCGGGCAGCCTAGTGGTGCTCCACGTGGTAGCACAAATCCCAGCTGTCTCCCTCTGTGCTTTGAATGTTTTGTCGCAGCCTATGAGGACACATTCAGACTGTTGTGAACTCCACACATGGCGTCTGGTACCCTGGGTTTGGGGACACCTGAGGGACCCAAGGCTTGGGATGGTGCTTTGGAGATTGTTTCCCTTGCCCACAGTCAGTTGGGGTCCAGCCCTGCCCCTCCTCGTGCACAGTGCAGGCTGCCAGCTCCCCTGCTTGCTCACTGCAGCTTGTTTTTTATGAGCATTGCAACCTGAAACACTTCCAACATGTTTTGGAGAACAAAGGGCTTTGGGGATTTCCACGCAAGGCTTTGCATAAGAGGCCGGGATGTGAGTCAGGTTCTGCTGGTGTTGCAGTGGGAGCAGCACGGGGCCATGTGGGCACTGCCAGCTGCTGGGCAGAGGGGAGGGGGCTGCGAGCTGCTGGAGGTGCAGCTCCATTTGCATGGGGCTGTGCATGGCTCTGCCTTGCAGAACGGTGCCTCTGAGAGAATGCCATTTATTTTTGCTGTGAGAACCAACGTTTGGATAGGAAGCTGGCCTAGGCTGAGTTCTGCACGAAGGTAAAAAGTGGTGTTTGTTTGTCTGTGCACTGAGTGACCCGAGCAGATTGCTGCCCCTGCCTGCCTCGCTGCTCGGAGGTGTTTGTGCAAAGAGGAGCTGGCACGAGTGCTGCTGGGCTCAGTGTGCACCAGGCATGGTCCTGGCTGCTGGGGCAGCTGCTGGGCGCTGTGCTGTGCTGAGAGCACCATGGCTGGGAGCTGTTGGTGCTGCAGCCTTGCCGTGGGGTGAGGGTGACTTGAGGTGGCCCTGCTTACTCATCTAGTCAATCTTACTAAGAGCGTAACGTGACGGCAGGGGGGTTTCCTGAAGTCATGCTCTGCAGCCTGCCCTTTGCCCAAGTGGTTTCCAGCAGCACCCAGAGAGAGACTTTGCCCCCATTGCAGAGCTGTGCTCAGCGCCAGCAGCCCGTGCAGCACACAGGCACTCAGTGCTCCTTTCTGTGCTGCGCCGATCTGGTTGGGTCCTTCCTTCTGCAGAACCCGAGTCATGCACTGCTCAGCTGGGTCCAGTTTAACTGAGACACAAGATGACCCGAAAGCGAAAACTTTACTCAAAGAAAGGACAACGTTTGTCATTACAATATTGGAAACAATTACAGAAGGAAAGCTTAAAATAAGAATCTGAAAGCAGACGGTATTTCCAGGAAAGTTGTGCTCTGTACTGCCTTAACTTCTCTGCGGTGGTTTGGCTGCAGCACCTGCGGGCTGCCTCAGAACTCACTGCCTTCTTGGGGAGCAGAGCGTGGCCCTCCTTGCTCCAGTATATCCCTCGCTCCTCAGGTTGGGTCCCAGATCAGCAGCTCTGAGTGCAGGTGGAGCTGCCCAGGCCTTCCCAGCGCCCGTGCTGAGCTTCCCTCTGTGCCTGGGAACACATCTTGCCCCATTCCCCTTTCTTTCTCTCCCCTAACACAGACCTTTCAATAATCTTGCTGTACTGCAAGGGCGAGCGTAGAGTCCTGCAGGCTCAGCCTCTCGCATCAAAACCCAAAATGGAGGGAGTTCAGGGCAGGTGTTTCACAGGAGCTGCTGCAGAGCAGAGCTGGGTGCTGCTGCTCCCCGGCCGGGCGCTGGCAGCAGAGCCCAGCTCCAGCTGCGCTCGCTCTGAAGACCACAAACAAAGAGCCGTGCTCGGTGCGTGCAGCACGGCCGGGCTCTGCTGGAGCTCTCCCCTGGGCTGAGGGCTGGAAGGAGCGCTGCAGTCGAGGAAATCCCACCGCAGGGTGCCAGGGGCTGGACTGCATCCTGGCCTCCTGCAGTACAGGGCTCCTTTGTACTTCAGTGGCGGGTGGGGACGCCAAGCGGAAAGGTCGGGGCCGGGTGTCGCTGGCAGAGCCTGCTTGGAACCGGGAGGAACAGGCAGACAGATGGAGCTGCCCTGCAGCCCTGCCTGCTTGAAGTTGCGTGGTTTCTGTAACATAAAACCTACAGGTGCGTGACTTCGGTCTGCGCAGGACGCCCGGGGTTTCAGTTCTGTACCAGCTTTCACTGTTGGTGTGAAAAACCTCGTCTGCCTCCGTGCTTTGTGCCACTGCCCTCCTCACAGTGTCACAGCCCTCCCACCGCCCGTGCCGAGCAGCCCCAGCGTCGCCTCCCGTGCTCTCGTGCAACAGATTGGATTTATGCTTAAGGTCGCTTTTCCTCTTAAAATCCCGGTAGGAAGCAGCTTAGAATTAAGCAGCTAAATCCTTCAGCCTGTGCTGCCCTCTCTGTCAAAGTGCTTTTTCCTGCAGAGCCCGCAGCAATCCTTCTGCTGCAGCACTCCGACCCCGCGCCCGCTGTGCACAGCTGGGCTCTGCTTTGGGAGCGTGGGGCACGGCTGTGGCAGCAGCTCAGGCGCACACAGGTGCTGTGCTGGCAAGGGGACGGCCGCTAACCCGTGCTCTCCTTTCTCTTCCCAGGATAAAGATAAAGTTTCTCTAACCAAAACTCCCAAGTTGGACCGGAGCGATGGCGGCAAAGAGGTGAAAGAGAGGGCTACCAAGAGGAAGTTACCTTTCACTGTTGGAACAAATGGAGATCAGAAGGACTCGGATACAGGTATGGGATTCAGACTGCACGGTGCAAACAGGAGCGCCCTCTGAGAGGACAAAGCTCTCTAAAACTCAGATTGCACGCGCCCTCCTAAAGCAGATGTGTTGTACCTGCGTCTGTATGGATGTGTATGTTACCCCTCTCTCACCATGCTTTGTTAGTTCGGGGCTTTTGGCTTCTGGTGTTGTTCTAAAACAGAGAAATCATTTCTGATGGATGCGCACACAGCTTGCACTGCCATGCTCGCTGCTTTGCCTGCAGCTGAGCAGCGTGTCCCCAGCAAGTTCCTTGTGCCGGTGTGCTGCTCCTGAGCTCATTGCTGGCTTTGTAAGCAGAGAGGAAAGGCTGTCCAACACCTGGAGATGGAGGGGATGTGATGGGGTGGCTGCAGAGGCTCTGTGGTCACGCTGATCTTTTTGGTGCATTTCTTGGAAGCCTGTGCTCAGGAGTAGTGCCAGAGTCAGGGTCACAAGCTGTGAGGAGAGAGAATCATGTAGAAGTAGGACTCAAAGATCAGAATACTCCTAAAAATGGTAAAAAGACGTGAAATCTGGGAGAAATAAGACTGCTTCCTCCTAGCCTTATAGTGGGGCTGTGTGTGGTGTCTGCCCTGCGCTGGCCTCAGCCTTGGTGTGTTTCTTTGTGCTGGGCAGTTTGTTGTTATCTTCCCCTTGTTGAACTCTGATTCCTAACTGAAAGTTTCAAAGCATCAGTGTGTGTGGGTAAAGGACAGCCACCCTGTGGGCTGTTCCTGGGGCTGGAGTGCCCTTGGGTGACAGAGGTGTGCTGGCCAGGCTGGGCCAGCCCTGAAAGCAGTGACTCAGAGCTTTAGGTCTCCTGGCTGCAGAAATGTCACAAATGCTGCTGGTGACATGGAGAAAAAGCAATTCAGACAGAGCAGGTGGGCAGGGACGACCCAGTGCCACTTCCAGCACAGGGTCACATGGGCCACCGGCTACAACTCTTCATCTGCTGGAGTGCAGCTGGGCCTGTAGGTGCACAGAAGTACCTGGGGAGGCTGATGGGATCCCCCAGAGCTGAGCAGATGTAACAGAGTTGCCCACAGCTCCCATTTAGCCATGCCTCTCAACTACACATGGTCCCGAGCTGCGGGCTGCAGCGCTCCCAGCCACCCCATCAGGGTGCTTTTCGCTTCCCTTCCCAGCCTTGGGATTCAGCAGTGGGATTGCAACACCCGTGCGTGCCGTGCCAGACCCGGGGCTGACCTCAGTGATTTATTCCATGCAGCCGCGCTTCCTGGATGGCCACACGCGGGCGTCCGTGTTTGTCTGAGGACAGCTTTGCTGGGGTGATCCATGGCCACGTGAAATGCAGCTGGGAGACTTGGGAGCTGGGAGAGGTCACTTTGTGCCTGTAGTGGGATGTTTTCCATCTTTCCATGTTCAGGCAGCAGCACAGAGCCTTGTCAAGCTGTGCCGCGAGGCGATGCCTTGCCCTGAGCAAGCTGCACAAGCTGCAGGCAGGGAAGCGATTCCACACCAACCCAGTTCTAAAACCCGTACGAATTATTCCTTCCAAATTGTTTCTAGAGCAAAAATCCTGGATCTCAAGTGCTGGGGAAAAAAAACAGCCTCCATCTGTGAGCCTCCGAACTGTGCCTGATACAGACCCAGCAGCATCCCTCTGCCTCCACTTCTCCTCTCTTCCTTCTCCCCTCCAGTGCAGCTCCCACGCCCGGGATCCTACGTGCTGCCTGGAAGCCAGCACTGCCAGCTCCTTCCCCAGCAACCCTGGGCTGCCTGCAGCTCCTTGCTGGGCGCCGTGCTGGAGGGAGCTTTGGCATTAAAACAGCACAGCAAATGGTAATGTGAAGAAGCATGCTGTAGGGGAAGGGATGGCCCTGCTGGGAAGCTCCAGACTCAAGGGGTGCAGCCCAGCATGCAGAACGCAGCACGTTGGTCTTGCTGGGAATGGCTTCTTCAGCTTTAATGCAGGCTGCCACTCGAGGTCCCCCAGCTCCCTGCAGGGAGGAGTGTTGTTTTGTGGCTTTCTGTCATCCCTGGTGAGAGGCAGGACTCAATGGACATCTCCAGGGCACCTGGAGAGCTCCTGGGAGTGGCAGGACTGGAGGAGGGCTGGTTTTTGGTTGCCAGCAGGTGCTCATGGCTCTGGGCACAGCCTCTTCCCATGCTTCGGAGGGAGAAGAGCACAGTGAGGCTGCTCTGCCCTAATGGGGTCACTGCTGGCTGCTGCCTGTGGCCCCTCGGCCTCACTGCAGCTTCAGGGCTTGGCCGGCATCTCTGGACAGGTTATGCATGTTTGCAGGATGGGAGTATGGAAAAGAGGAGATGGTTTTGTCCAGACCATGCCTGAACCCTGCTATTGCTGGCTGATACCCTGGCTTCAATAAACTAGCTCTTAAAATTGCAGGCGTGGCAGCTGGCCTGTGCTTGTGCCCATGTTGTAGCCATACAGCTGGTGCAGAAGAGGAGCCCTTCTTCCTGTGTCAGAAGGGACCACAGGTGCATTGACCTCAGCAGCAATGCTTCAGAAACAACTGCACCCTGAATACCAGGGCAATTCTAATTCTGAAGCCTTCTGAGGAGGGGTTCTGGTGGGCAGGAGGGCTGTGGGGTGCGGGTGTTGTTTCTGCGTTGCTGCTCCCAGCAGAAGCTGTGGCTGTGTGCAGCCCTGGCTGGGAGCACTGAGTTGGTGCCACGTGTTTGGTAGCGCTGTGGCTTTGGATCATGGGATTTCTCAGCAGCGCTCAGTGTTTCTGTGTTGTTACAGCCATGCAAGCTGAACCAAATGTCCCCCGCACAGCAGTGGGGGCTTGGCATGGGTCAGGGCATGGGATGGGGAGCAGTGTCCCATGGTGTCAGAGCTACGGACCGCTGTGCTCCAGCAGCATTCGATGTGCAGCTCGGCTCCGGGCTCAGCCTGCAGCATGACGCCGATCCGAGGTCAGCGATGCGATGAGTCAGAGCCGGCCCAGCCCTTCCCTCCCCGCAGCACACAGCACAGCCCAGCACTGCTCTGCACGGCCCCTTAGTCACTGCGTGGGGGTGGCAGTGCGAGGAAGGAGGCCCTGCTGTGTCCAAAGCAGCATCTGTGAACGCGCTCGTTCCTTCTGCGTGGCTCCGCTCAGGTGTGTGCAGCTGGGACTCACAGGCTGTGCCACGCTGGGGCTCGCATTGGTTGGATGATTTCAGCCCTTTTTTTTAAAACTAAAATAGTTGAGAAGCTGTTCTCACCTAGCAACCGGGGAGGAGTGTGTGTCAGAGCTGCTCCGCTCCATAGTGCTGCACAGTGCGGATGGGCTGCAAGCAGCAGCAGCCTTCACATGGCCCTTTGAGCTCCCTGCATGCACCAGCCAGCTGGGAGCAGTGCAGGAGGTGTGTGTGTATGTGTGTGTGTGTGGGGCAGCCACCCCCTGCCCCCCAGCTCTCCTTAGCATGCAGGGGAGCGGCCACAGCACACCATGGCTCTGCCAAGCATCCATCAATGATGGCTTTTTCTTTCATAGAAGAGCTTTTATCGGCGCTGTCTGCGGAGTCTCCTGCCCCCGGCTGCTGGGAGGAGGGGGGGGCCTTCCTCCTCCTTTTCCACCTCCTCCTCCTCCTTTTTAGGGCCTCGTGGGAAATGAGAAGTTGGGCCCTGAAAATGTCTCTCCTGGAGTTGTCTGTATTTATCACAGAGATGGGCTTCTGATTGAAATTGAACACTGGGGTTTCCCCCACAGCAGCTGGATTGTCAATGGCTGCTCTGCATAGGCACAGTGACACGTTTATGATTGTGTGAGGGAAGCTAGGCTGCTTGGGCTGCTGGCAACCTGGGGCATAGCACTGAGCCTCTCCCAGCTGAATCCTGCTTCTGGGGATGCGAGGGCTGCAGGGCTGAGGGTGTCAGCTCTGCTTCACCTCTCTGTCCTCCTGCCCTCCCTTTGGCTGCATGCAGGCAGCACCACCGTGTGCTCACCCTGCAGCTGCTGCAGCACACACACCAGCTCTGTGCTGCAAACCATACCTTGCTCCGTGCTGCAGGCTGCACACTCCCTGCTGCAAACTCTGTTCTTCTCCCTGCTGCAGGCTGCATGCTCCATGCCCACCCGCTGCCCTCCTGCCCTGTCCCTCAATGCTGGGCTTGAGGCTGCCCTCGCCATGCGCCCTCCAACTGCTGCAGCAGGGATGAGTCACACTTACGCATGCCAAGTTGGGGACTGGGAAAGCAGAGCTTGTGCAGTCTCTCGGGGTGCAATGCAGTCTCCATTGCTGTCTGTGCCATTCTAATTTATTCCTATTGATCTTCTGTTTGCGTGCCTGCACGGTGAATAAACCCGGAACGCTCGACCCGTGAGAGGTGCTGGTTGCTGAGCTGCTCAGCATGAGCTGCAGCTTTGGGAATGGTATTTTTCCTCAGGGTACCACCTTGTAAGCCTGTGCTGTCATGTCAGAGCCGGCTGGGCAGACACTGCCTGCATTACAGGGCACGTGGGAGCAGGGAGCTGCTTCCTGACCAACCCACCTGAACCCGAAAGGTTCCCCCACCATTCACTTCTGCCTGTGCTGAGCTCTTAGAATCACAGTGTGGTTGGGTTGGAAGGGACCTTAAACACAATGCACGGGGCACTTGGAACCTGGAGCCAAGCTCTGCGTGCAGCTTCTCCTCGTGAACCTGCAGCAGCGGTGCTCCGAGCAAAGCTTTCCAGGCTGCCATGGAAGAGGTTGTAGCTGTGGGGCAGGGAGCCCACGTCCTGCAGGCAGCCTGGTGCCAGTGAGTGCTGCACAGCACGCGCTGCCCGGGTTATTTTTGTCGTGTCGATCACATGCTTTTTGATGCTAAATGTTCTGTGGAGGAGGAGAATTCTCCAACTGCGGAATGAATAGGAGTTTAGGGGTTTGGGGTTGAACTTGATAATGAATTTTTGCAGATCGCAGGCTCGCGCTGACAGCCTGCAGCAGCCACGTGCATTAAGGAAAGCTGCCCAAAGCACTGCCCCGTTAGCGCTCAGGTGGCAGTGGGTGCAGTGCTGAGGCTTTGTCTGGAGAGAGCACAATGTGGGTTTGGGATTTCTGGGCTCACATCAGGCTTTGCAGCCCCAGTGGTGAGCAGAGGAGCGGGACTGGGGTTGGGCACCTGGGGTTGGGCACAGTGAGGCAGGGCTCACCCTGTGCTCCATGTGATTGGTGTGCCAGAAGGAGTGAGGAAGGGAAAAAACAGGAAAGAAATGTTATTTCTTATTGATTCATAGTCCGGGGGAGGAATGTATGGCTCTCAGAGCCTGTCAGAGATGTGCGTGTTCTGCTTAGGTGTAAGGTGGAATGTTTGCAAGGAGATGTGTCTCAGTGAAAACAAGGATATTGCCAACTATTTTGTCACCTGCCATTGAGAAATAGCACAGATGTGGGGTCCCGGGCTGCTGTCTGCAGGGTGTGCAACCTCCATGCAGGGGGGGAGGTGAAATGTGAACATAACCCCATGGGACCGGGGCCTTTGGTGGCACATCGCCCTGCCTTGGGCCTCCTCCCCATCCCGTGTCAGGGGCAGGGATTTGTCACCTGGATTTGATAACCTCTGTCACCATCCCTCTGTCCACAGCAGGACCCATCAGTGAGCCAGGCTGCAGGCATGCAGCGTTGGGTTTTCCATGCACACACACCGTGTCTCATGCTTTTTGCAGGGTTAGGACAGTTGTCTGGTAGGAGGCACACAGCAAGGCTGCTTGGCAAGGAGTCTCCTTGCTGCTCTGCAGATACACGTTCTGCCTCCTGCTTGGCTGGCTGCATGAAAGGAAATTGAAGTTTGGTTTCCTCAAGTGAGAGCTGGAAGCTTTGGCCACATCCCTGCAGTGGGGCACGGGTGGCTGCGGGAGCACCAGCACCAGGGGAGGAGCTGCCAGCTCTCCTTGCCTGGGGAAGGGAGTGATATTTGCAAAGAGAAAACTGGATAAACATTTCAGAAAGATGTGATCAGGCTTCTCGCCGTGATGCAGCAGTGGGGTGGTCCGGCAGGCTGAGCTCTGTGTGGTTTGGTGAGCTGGGTTGAGCTGGCAGCACTGCGCAGCTGTCACCCTGCACCTCTGCAGCAATCGTGTTGATCCTGCTAGTGACTCCAGTTCAGGCTGCTCTGTGGCAGCGGAAGGCTGCAGGCCATCCCTGAAGCACTGTGGCATGAAATGGAGGCTGCTAGGAGCTGGATGGAATGTCTAGCATGGTAGCTGGGTGGTGCTGGGTCTGTCCTGTGCTGGGTCTGTCCTGTTCCATCCAGCCCATCCCATCCCACCCCACCATGGACAACAGAAGGGGGACATGAGCCAGGTGCCAGCACTCCCAGCACTGGGACGTGCTCTCCCCCAGAGGCTTTGATCCCTGAGGTACTAGCAGGGATGCAGAGCACTGCTGGCACCATGCTCGGGAAGGAACACAGCTCCCAGTACAGCAGCACTCACTCACTTGTTGTGCTTTGTGTCACAGAAAAGCAGGGTCCAGAGCGGAAGAGGATTAAAAAGGAGCCCGCCACGAGGAAGCCTGGCTTGCTGTTTGGGATGGGCCTTTCAGGAATCCGGGCAGGCTACCCGCTCTCTGAGCGCCAGCAAGTTGCTCTGCTCATGCAGATGACAGCAGAAGAGTCTGCAAACAGCCCAGGTAAGCTCAGGAGCGTGGTTTGTGTGGGTGAAGCTCACAGCCAGCTGCCGCATACATACCCCACCCGCTGTGTGGTCTGTGCAGCCATTGTGCTGCCTGTGCATACCTTGCATTCACACACAGATGTTGCAGCCTTTGCCACCGACTCTGTGGCTCATAACCCTAGTCCAGCAGCTCAGGTTGCTGTTACTGGGAAACAGCAGAGAGCTGTGCAGTGCTGAGAGCATTCAGCTACTGTCGCAGGAAACGTCGCCCTCCCAGGGCTGCCAGAACTCATGTTGTAGAAAAGGCACTTCCCTCAGGAAGGCAGGTTTTGGGGTGAGGATCTGCACATGCCACAGTCCTTGCAAGGAGTGTGATTATCTGCAGCGGCTGTGGCAGCCTGCAAGTGCTGTCTGTGCTGCACACACAGGCTTTCCTCTGTCTTCGCATCAGTTAACTCAGTGCCTTGTGGGGAGCGTTTTGGTGGAGAGTTGAAAAGTGGTGCAACAGCTCCCTCTAAGGGTTTGGGTCTTCCCATGAACAGCAGTTCGTGATTGCGCTTCTCTCCTCCCTGCAGTTGACACAACACCAAAGCATCCCTCTCAGTCCACAGTTTGTCAGAAGGGAACTCCTAACTCTGCCTCCAAAACCAAAGATAAAGTAAATAAGAGAAACGAGCGAGGGGAGACTCGGCTGCACCGAGCTGCCATCCGCGGGGACGCGCGGCGCATCAAGGAGCTCATCATCGAGGGTGCCGACGTCAACGTAAAGGACTTTGCAGGTGAGCAGCCCCAGCAGCAGGAGCTGCATTGGATTTTCCACCTGGAGAATGGCTGCTGCCAGAGAGAGCCCTTCCCTTGTGTCACAGGTTTGCTGCTGGTCAAGGGGAGACGATCCCAAAATAATCATAGAATCACAGAATAAGGATTTTGGTTAGAAAAGATGTTGTGGAATCGCCATGCCAGAGCCGTGCGGCCAATGCTGCCAGCATCCTGGGGTGCACGTGCTGACCATGGGGTGCCCCTCTGCCCCTGCTGTGCCAGCACCAGGCAGCTCCATCCCCGAGCCACACTTCACTCTTTCTGTTCTCTTTGCACGATTTTGGGCTATAAATAGCAGTGCACGTTCCTCTGCCTGTGTGATGAACATCAGTGCGAGACTGAAGCTCTGTGGTGATTAATTCTGGTCACAGGTGCCCCTCTCACTCAGCAGTGAAGGTACTGCAGCGATCTCCCACGGCGCTATCAGCAAAACACCCGGAGCCAGGAGACTTCAAAACAGCGCCTGCTTAAAAATAGCTTGTTTGAACATGATAAAATGCTTCGTTCTGTGCTCTGCAGAGGTTTGTTTGAGAACTGGAGCCACTGTTACTGTGGAGATGTGCTGTTTGGTGTATCTCAGATCGGGCTCTGTTTTGCAGTGCAGGGCTGCTTGCTTGGAGAGCACAAATTATGTTTGTTAGGTCTGTGCAGAGGATGTTCTGGGAGAGTATCTGCAGCTCAGTGCACAGCTCTGTGTGGCAGCCCTATTGCTCAAGCTGGAAAGGAAAAGGACTTAAGCCATGCCTTAGAGCATGAAGTTTCCTAATTCCATACCCCAGATTTCACCATTGGTTTTGCTGGGTCTGTACTGTTTCCATCACACAGTCTGGGTGCAGCTGAGGAGAGATGGGGCTACAGGGCCGCCTGCAGGGCTTCAGTTATGGGGCAGAGCTGCAGGTCCTGGCACAGGGCTGGCTGTCCCACTGGGCTTTGTGGCACAGGCAGCAGAGGCAGACAGGTGTTCCTCCTTACTGCCTCCAGCTCCATGATACCTGGTTCTGAACGTGTGTTTGCTTGCAGGCTGGACAGCATTGCACGAGGCGTGCAACCGGGGTTACTACGATGTTGCAAAGCAGCTGCTTGCTGCAGGCGCCGAGGTCAACACCAAGGGGTTGGATGACGACACCCCCCTGCACGATGCAGCAAACAACGGGCACTTCAAGGTTGGTTTTTGCTGGTCTTTATGGATTTTTTTTTAATGACTTTTTTTTTTTTCCTTCCTGTCCTTTCAAGCAGCCAGCTATGCAGACACCAAGATTCTGGGTATTTTGTTATCGTTCGCTGCTGATAGCTACATAGCGCCATTCTGCTTTTCTTGTGTAGGAGGAAAGTTCATCCCTTCTGGAGCAGGACGAGAGAGCATGGCCTTGCGTCTCGTTCTGCTCCTTCCTTCCTTGCCCAAATTGATTCGTGTTGCTGGGTTTTGTCTTCTTTCTTATCAGTATCTCTTTGTGCCTCACAACCTTTGTGCCTGGCACCAGGCTGCTCTCCAGCTTGAAGATGCACCCCATTCTGTTTTATATCAAAAGCATACAGAAAAAAAATCTCTATAAACGTTTAAAGTCTTGATTTCTGTTTTCAGGTGGTGAAATTGTTGTTGCATTATGGAGGGAATCCTCATCAAAGCAACAGGAAGGGAGAGACGCCATTAAAAGTAGCCAATTCTCCCACCATGGTGAATCTGCTCCTGGGGAAGACGACATACCCCTCCAGTGAAGAGAGCTCAACAGGTGAGCCAATTTTGTGCATGTGGTGGTGTTTGTGGCCCACAGCTGTCTGTGAGCACAGAGCTGTTAGAGGACAGCAAGGTTAGACTTGTCAGAGTGCCCACATGCTGCTGCTGCAGTCTGGAGTCCTTCTGTAGCCATAAGCCCAGCTCAGACAAGTGCAGCCTTGAGCTCCGGGAGCAGTGTCTGTTTGCCTTGGAAGCCCACATTGAGATAGCTTGCCTGGTGCAATTAAGATAAAGGATTGGAATTCATTTGCGGATAAATGAATATCTGACATTAAAATGTGGGTGATGTTCCAGCCCATGCCTTGACAGGAGGATGTTGGAGCAACGTGGACGTTTCCAGGCTGTGTGCTGCTGTCATGGCTGGGCCAGGTGGGAAGTGATGCAGGTTTCGTTAGCACTAACTGGAAGAGAGGTTCCAGTCCCACGGGGGGTCTTGGCTTGCACTGTTTGCAGTCATAATCCTCTTCGCAGGCCTTAACATGTTGTTGTTCTCTCTGCAGAGACCTCAGAAGAGGAGGATGCCCCTTCCTTCGCGCCCTCCAGCTCTGTTGATGGCAATAACACAGACTCAGAGTTTGAGAAGGGTTTGAAGCACAAGCCCAAGGCCCAGGAGCCCCCCAAAACCATCACCCCAGTAAAGGATGAGTATGAATTCGATGAGGATGATGAACAGGACCGGGTCCCACCAGTTGATGACAAACATTTGCTGAAAAAGGACTACAGGAAAGAGACTAAAGCGAACAGTTTCATTTCCATACCCAAAATGGAAGTGAAAACTTATACTAAAAATAACACAATTACACCAAAGAAAGCTGCCCACCGCATCCTGTCGGACAGCTCGGATGAGGAGGAGACCGGCGTCGCTGTGGGGACAGGTGAGAAGCTGCGCCTTTCGACCCACTCAATATTGCCCAGCACCAAGATCCGGGAGCCTGCCAGCACCAAGGCACCGAAGGAGAAAAGCAAAGTAAAAAAGAAGCGGAAGAAGGAGACAAAAAGCAAAGAGGTTCGGTTTGGCAAAAAAAATGACAAATTTTGTTCCTCTGAATCAGAGAGCGAAAACGTGGAGAGTGAGGAGGATGATAGAGACTCTCTTCAGAGCTCTAGCTGTGTAAAGGACTCCAGGCTAGTGCTAAAGGAATCCTCCTTGTTTAACTCTCTGTCTGCCTCATCAACCTCTTCTCATGGGAGCTTAGGATCCCAGAAACACAATGCTAACCTTACAGAACAGCACTCCAAGCACTGGAGGACGGACAATTGGAAAACCATATCTTCTCCAGCTTGGTCAGATGTCAGCTCCTTGTCGGACTCCACGAGGACGAGGCTGACGAGCGAGTCAGACTACTCGTCTGAGGAGTCGAGCTTGGAGTCGCTAAAGCCAGTCAGGAAGAAACCAGAGCACAAAAAGAAAAACACTTCCCACAGCACTGTTTCTGAGAAAAAGAATTCATTCCATAGCAACGTGGATGGAGCGATTCCAAAGCTGGACAAGGAGGGGAAGGTGGTTAAAAAGCATAAAACGAAACATAAACATAAAAACAAGGACAAGGGGCAGTGTCCCATCAGCCAAGACATTAAAATAATCAAAACTTTTTCTTTTGAGTTTGAGGACTCTAAACAAAAGCCTGAGAAAGGCTTGATAGTAGAGACAGAAAATCCAGTCGAAAACAAATTGAAAGTGTTAAAGCATGAGCGAGAACACTGTAAGAAGGAAGACAAACTCCCCAAAGGTAAAGCGGAGGAGAAGGACTGGTTGTTTAAAGATGAGACTGGAAAATCCTCTAAAGAGGAGAAATCATTAAGAAAAGTCAAAGATGGTAGTAAAGACATGAGCAAATCCTTCAGAGAAGGATTGAGTAAATCGGAAAAAGAGAAACCTGTAAAGGAGAAGTCTCCCAAAGAGGAAAAGCCGAGAATACACAAGGAGGAGAGAAAGAAGAAGTCAAAAGACAAGCAGTCCAAGTCCGAAAAGAAGAACGAACTGAAAGAGGAGAAAGCTGCCAAGCTTGAGAAAGAAAAATCCTTCAAGGAAGAGAAGGAAAAATGCAAAAAAGAAAAAATGTACAGGGAGGAGTCTGGGTTTGATGAGTTTAATAACAAAGCCCAGTTTCCCGAAAGCGAGGACACGAAGTTCAGCCTTTCGGATGATCAGCAGGAAAGGTGGTTTTCAGACTTGTCTTCTGATTCGTCCTTCGATTTCAAAGGCGAGGATAGCTGGGATTCTCCGGTAACAGATTTCAGGGAGATTAAAAACGACACTGTGGCAAAACTAATCATAGAGCCAGTGAAAGAGGAAATTAAAGACAAGAAAAAGGAAAACAAATCGAAAGAGAAGAAGGAGTACAGCGAGAAACGAAGCGAAAAGGACTCTTTCTTGAAGAAGAAAGAAAGAGACTACGCGGACAAGAGCTCAGAAAAGAAAAAGGACCAAACAGACAGGCACAAAGCTGCTCCTAGTTATTTGCCTGAAAAAGATAAGAAAAGGAAGGATTCTGCAGAGGGTGTCAAGGAGAAGAAAGAGAAAGATACAGGTGAAACCAACAAAGATAGAAAGGATTCCTCTGATGGCTCTAAAGACCGAAAAGAGAGTAAGACGAAGCAGGAGGAGCCCTACCGGGATGACTTCAAGGAGTTTGGCTGCGAGGCATTCTTCAAGGAGAAGTCCGACGCCGAATTCAGCGGTAAAGCCCTGGATAGCTGGGAGAGGCACCACTCTGGAAAGGACAAGGAGAAGAAAGATGCTTCTGAGAAGGAAAAAAAAGAAAAAGTGAAGCCAGAAAAGTACAAGGAAAAATCCAAAGAAGGTGACAAGGAGAAAAATGAAAAAGCAGCTCCTGAGAAAATCCCCAAAGACAAAGAACTAGAAAAGAGCTTCAAAGAGAAGAAGGAAAGCAAGGAGAAATACAAAGATCTACACAGCAAAGACAAAGAAAGGAAGAGTTCCTTTGACCAAGTGAAAGAGAAGAAGGAGAAAAGCTTTTCCACGGACCGAGAAGACTTCTCTGAGAAAAAGGACGAGAAGAAGGGCAAGGAGAAGAGCTGGTACAGCATCGCAGACATCTTCACTGATGAAAGCGAAGATGAGAGGGATGATTACAGCTTGACGGGGTTCAAAGTGGGTGAATCGGTGGGCAGTGAGATGCACCGCCTGGACAGCCTGCAGGAGAAGGACGAGGGTGAGAAGGAGCTGTACTCTGACAAACACCGCAAGTACTCCTCCGAGCGGCAGCACTCCGGGGAGAAACAGAAGGACAAGGAGTCCAAGGAGAAGAAAAAGGACAAGGGAACATCGGAAGGGGGAAAAGAGAAGAAGGAGAAGAGCTCCTTTGAAAAACACAAAGAGAAGAAAGATAAGGATTCTTCGGAGAAGTACAAAGACAGGAAAGACAGAACGTCCATCGATTCCAATCAGGAGAAGAAGAACAAGCAAAAGCTCCCAGACAAGGCCGACAAGAAGCACGCCAGCGACGAGAAGGTGAAAAACAAGCACAAGGAGAAGCTGGATAAGGAGCATTCCAAAGAGAAAAAGTCTTCAAAAGGAGGAGAGCCGGAGAAGAGCCTGCTGGAGAAGTTGGAGGAGGAGGCTCTCAATGACTACAGAGATGACTCCAACGACAAAATCAGCGAGATCTCTTCCGACAGCTTCACAGATAGAGGGCAGGACCCAGGGCTCAGCAGCCTCTTCGAGTCTTCGAATCTCTCTCTTGCAGACGCCTCCGAAGAAAAGTTCAAGGACTCTCTCCCACTGCCTTGCCTGCAGGACAAACTGAAGGAGAAGGAGCGGCACAGGCATTCCTCATCTTCCTCAAAAAAGAGTCACGAGAAAGAAAAGGCGAAGAAGGAGAAGACCGAGAAAAAGGAAAAAACAGATGAATTCAAGGACTCCAGCAGCAGAAAGGATTCCACTCATTATGAAAAGGATTTCTCTGTGGATGGGGAGGCTTTCAGCACTTCCTACAGCATGAAGGCAGAGCCTGATGAGGAACCAGAGAAAAGCATTGATTACTTATTTTCTGAAAAGAAAGATAAAAATGATTCTGAAAGAGAGCTGTCAAAGAAGGCGGAAAAAGAAAAGACTTATGGTTCCAGCACCATCAGCACAGCTAAAGAGAAAAAGAAGCGAGATAAACACAAGGAAAAATGGAAGGAGGAAAAGGAAAAGCACAGAGACAAACATACAGATGGTTTCTTTAAACATCACAAAGATGAACCAAAGTCAGCGCTTAAGGACAAGGACAGTCCTCAAGTTACCGCCTTCAAGGATAAATCGAAGGAGGAGAACCTCAAATTTGGTGAGACCAAACTGAAGGAGAAGCTCAAGGAGAACCAAGAGAAAGACAAATCAGAGTCAATAAAAATAAGCAATGGCAATGAAAAAATAACCCTTTCCAAAGACAGCGGCAAGAAGGATGCCAGGCCGAGGGAGAAGCTGCTGGGGGACGGAGATCTGATGATGACCAGCTTCGAGAGGATGCTGAGCCAGAAAGACCTGGAGATCGAGGAGCGGCACAAACGGCACAAGGAGAGAATGAAACAAATGGAGAAAATGAGGCACAGGTCCGGAGACCCCAAACTGAAGGACAAAATTAAGAGCTCTGAAGATGTCCGCAAGAGGAGTCTGGATCTGACAGCAAAGAAGCCGTTGGCGCTGGACACTCAGCTCAAGGACAAGAAGCTCAAAGAGCTGGGCCCGCTGACACCCATCCTGTCACCGGAGAACAAGGCACAGCCCACAGCTGGGGCAGACTCCAAGGACTGGATCACAGGCCCGCAGCTGAAGGAGATCCTCCCGGCGTCCCCTAGGCCAGACCAGAACCGGCCAACAGGCGTCCCCACCCCGGCATCCGTCGTGTCCTGCCCCAGCTACGAGGAGGTGATGCAGACCCCGCGCACGCCCTCGTGCAGCAACGAGGACTACACCGACCTGATGTTTGAGTGTGCGGACTCGCAGCACTCGCTGCCCATATCCACCATGTCCATGAACGCCTGCTCACCGTCCTTCTTCGACAGGTACGCCAACGTTGCGGGGGCCCTCCCCGAGAACCCAGCTCAGACCCCGACTCGCACCATCCCCTCCTCAAACCTGTACCGCTCCATCTCTGTCGACATCAGAAGGGCACCCGAGGAAGAGTTCAGTGTCGGAGACAAGTTTTTCAGACAGCAAAGTGTCCCAGCGACCTCAAATTACGACTCTCCCGTGCAGCATTTAATGGAGGAGAAGGTTCCCCTTCCTTCTGTTCCCGCTGAGAAGTTCCAGTGTCTGTCTCCTGGGTATTACTCACCGGACTATGGGGTTTCGTCGCCCAAGGTGGAAGCCCTGCACTGCCCACCAGCGGCGGTCAGCGGGGTCTCCCAGTCACCTGAAAGTGTCTTTTCTGGTTTACAAGCAAAGTCCTCCCCTTCGCACAGAGACGAGCTTCTGGCTCCCTCGGTAGAAAGTGCTCTTCCCCCCGACCTGGGCATGCCGCTGGATACCACGGAGGAGCAGCAAGCCACTGCCTCCATCATGCCACCAGAGCCCACCTACTTGCCACCAATTGAAGAGAATAATTTTGGTTCAGCAATGCCAGAACAAACCAGCATGGACTGGGATACCCCTCCTGCCCGGAACCCCGACACGGCAATCCCTCCCAGCCTGATGGCAAACGCGGCCGAGCACTCTGTTGGCTGGTCCATGGGCTCTGAGCTCCTGATGAAATCACCCCAGCAGTTTGCCGAGTCCCCAAAACCTGCGCTTTGCTCCCTGGAGCCCATCCATCCTACGCCAGTCGCCTTCATCCCCACAGACGCTTCCTACCCCGTTTCTCCCATCTCGTACCCTCTGTCTGTGTCAGAGCCGGGGCTGGACGAAGTCAAGGAGGACGCTGAGGAAGCGGTACCGGGAGAAATGGCGAATGCTGAGGAGCAGGCACCATACATGTCTCCCACGAGGCTGGACACATTTTTCACTGGCTGCAAGCCCCTTCCCGAGGAGGCACCCGAGATCCCCGCGGAAGCCCCCTGCGCGCCAGCAGAACCTGAGGCAGAGGTGGTCAGTGTGCCAGAAAACACCTATTTGGAAAACAACAGCACGACGCCGGCAAATGGCGAGGAGGCAGTGACGTGGCCAGACCCCTTCACCACCACTGAGGATGAGCTGGACCTTGGCCCCTTCTCACTGCCTGAGCTCCCGCTTCAGCCCAAGGATGTGGCTGAGGCGGAGGTGGCCGAGGCAGAGCCGGCCGAGGAGGGCATGGCTGCAGCTCCAGAGGTGAGTGCTGGGAGCACAAAGGCCAGCACAGCTGCCACAGCCAGCGGAGAGGCAGAGGAGCCCGCAGCTGTCCCAGCGGCACCCGTCCCGCCCACAGACACTGAGCCACCAGCCGAGGAGCAGAAACCTGATGGGGCCATGCCAGAAGCCACCTCGGAAGCAACGAGTGGGGCAGAGGAGAAAGGAGGGGAGGAGGCAGAGGCGCAGGTGCTCCCAGCTGCCCCGTCAGAGCCCGCCCAGGTTGAGGGCAGAGAGGTGGAGGGTGCACATGACGAGCCGGCCGCCTCCGCTGCAGTGGTGGAGGGCAGCTCCAGTCCTCCTGCAGCCCCCGCTGAGGGCAGTGCTGGCCCTGAGAGCACCACGGGGCGCACCGGGAGCCAGGGCCCTTCCTCACAGCCCGAGGCCCCTCCAGCTCAGGCAGAAGTTGTTGAGCCAGTGCAGAAACCGGTAGCAGAAGCTCCCAAACCCCCCAAAATAGAAGAGATTCCTCAGCGGATTACCAGGAACCGGGCGCAGATGCTCGCCAACCAAAACAAGCAGAACGCCGCGGCTGCTGAGAAGGAATTTCCTGCCGTCCCCGCGCCCACCACCCGCACCAAGGGCCGCGTGACCGAGGAGGACGATTCCCAGGCACAGCACCCACGGAAGCGCCGCTTCCAGCGCTCCAACCAGCAGCTGCAGCAGCAGATCAACACGTCCACCCAGCAGACCCGTGAGATGATCCAGCAGACCCTGGCAGCTATCGTCGACGCCATCAAACTGGACGACATCGAACCGTACCACAGCGACAGGTCCAACCCCTACTTCGAGTACCTCCAGATCAGGAAAAAGATCGAAGAGAAGCGGAAAATCCTCTGCTACATCACTCCCCAGGCTCCGCAGTGCTACGCCGAGTACGTCACCTACACGGGATCCTACCTGCTGGACGGCAAACCGCTGAGCAAGCTCCACATCCCCGTGGTGAGTCCCCTCTCTTTGCCTGCGGTGTAAAATGCAGCACTGAGGCTCTGCCCTGTCTGCCAGCACAGCCACGTTGTCCCCCGGTACACCCAGAGCACTTCCATGGTGCCCAGCGGTGCCTTTCCTGTACTTCTGGACAGTACTCACAGTGATGAAATGAAGCCTTGAGGAGCAGGTGGCTGCGTGATAAATGCATCCTCTGAGATGTGCTTTTGCAGAGAAGACTTTAGGCTGTGCTTTAGGAGCCTGAGATTTGTTCAGGTTTTAGAGAAGGGTGGTATGAATGCACAGGATTTGAGGCCAGAAGGCAAAATGGCATTTGAAGGCAGTGCAGTAATGAACCTAGGAGAGTGCAGGATAGCTGCTGCCTTTGTCCACTGAGCACTGCTGTTTCACCTGCTGACAGCACGCAGGATCTGCCTCTGCTGCCCTGCATGAATGTGCTCTGCAGATGCTTGGTGCTGCAGGCAGTAACTCCAGGATCCTGCAGGAGGAGGTCAGTGCAACTGCCTCCCTCCCTGCTGCAGACAGAGTCAGGTACTCTGGCTATTTCTGCTGCCCATACAGCACAGCCCATGCATCAGTTCTGGTCTGATGAGTTAGCACACCGTTTGCCTGCCCAGCACCGCGGTGGGTATAGCTGAGCTCACACCTGTCTGCTCCTTCCTGCTGCATTCAGGGCCCGAGTGCCACATCTCTGCAGATCTCAGCTCCTCCAAGGGTGGTGACTCCTGCAGCTCCCTGGGCAGCCCGTGCTGCTGCCTGACCAAAGCCATGTTTCCTAACTGCCCCATTGTGTCCCCGCAGATCGCCCCGCCGCCGTCGCTGGCGGAGCCCCTGAAGGAGCTGTTCAAGCAGCAGGAGGCCGTCCGGGGGAAGCTGCGGCTCCAGCACAGCATTGAGCGGGTAAGGCAGTGCCAGCAGCTCTTGCTGGGGACAAAGCCCTGGATTTCCTTTGCTGGGGAATACTGAGGTTGCCGCGCTCACTGCTGTGTTTGCTCTCCCCCAGGAGAAACTCATTGTCTCCTGCGAGCAGGAGATCTTGAGAGTGCACTGTCGAGCAGCACGGACTATTGCCAACCAGGCTGTGCCCTTCAGTGCCTGCACCATGCTGCTGGACTCCGAGGTCTACAACATGCCTCTAGAAAATCAGGTCAGTAGTGCCTGCCTGCCGGCACAGGGCTGTCCCCGGGGAGGGGACAAGACCCCAAGCAAGATGGGTTTATCTGGGTTGAGTTAAAGGGAGAGAACCATTAAGGTAATCTGAACGCTGGCTTGGAAAGCGCTGGGCTGCTTTCAGCACACAGGACGGGGGATCCCTTCCTCTGCTCAGAGGGTTCTGTGCTGCTGGGAGGGAATTGTGCCAGGTTCTGGGAGTGCCGACACATCTCCTGCACCCAGCCACAGAGCTGGCACTGCCTGCACGTCAGTGTGCTCCCATGTGCCCCCGTGCTCTGACTGCAGTGACCGAGTGCTGTAAGGGGTTTGAGCACGGCCTGTTAGATCTTGGAGTGCTGAAAGTAAATAACCCATCTCCCACGTCATTCCTTTTTGCTCAGGGAGACGAAAACAAGTCGGTCAGGGACCGCTTCAACGCACGGCAGTTCATTTCCTGGCTGCAAGATGTGGACGACAAGTACGACCGGATGAAGGTGAGGGCTGTGGGTGCAGCGCTGGGCACAGATCCCACTGCTCAGTGCCATGGGGCGGGCACAGCTTTAGGAGCTGCATTCCTGTGGCTTCCAGAAGCTCTGCAGAGAGGCATGTGGGTTGCTGGGCCAGAAGCAGGGGATGGGGACACGTTCTGCTTGGTGCTGCCCATCTGGCTGCTGCTGCGTTGTCATCCTGAGCCTCCCTGTTCTGCTCACCCCCAGGGTTGACCTTGGCTGGCTGCAGCAAGCTCAGAACCTGCAGCAAACTGGGAATTGGGCAGGGTCAAGAGTGCTCTGCAGGGCTCTGGGCAGGCAGACCTGGGGGGGGGGAAATGTTGGTCCACCGGTGACAGAGAAGTGGCAGCTCTGTGCAGGGAGCAGCACCCTGCTCTTGGGCATTGGGTACACTGTTACTACACCATGGGGTCGGAGCTCTGAGTGCTCATGGCTTCCAAAGCTACTGCACCTCCCAGGCTGTGCTGTGTGGCTCTGTAATGCTGTAATAGGGTGATAATAGCAGGGTGGTACAGTCTTCATCTGCAGCAAATGAGAATAAGCCTAAATACAGCAGCCACAGAGGCAGAAATGAAAGAAAAGAGCTGCTTACCTTTGGAAGGCCTCAGGTAGACAGCAAGAGATGCCCTCACCTCCACTGCCAGCCCTTAAATGAGGGCTGGGAAGGGGAGGATCCTGGCTCCAGCCCTTCCATCACTCAGGTTCATTGCGTGAACCTGAGCTCCCCTGGGCTGGCCCTGCCTTCCCACCAGGTGCTTCATCACTGCTTTAAGCTGTGACTCAGCATTGCCACTACAGGCTCCCCTGAGCTGCTGTTGCTGGTGGTGACAGAGAGCACCCTGAGCTCTGCATCACCTCCAGGCACGGGCCGGGCAGGCGCTCTGTGCCGCACTGCAGCGCCCTCAGCGGTGTGCAGGAGCAGCACTGGAGGGATCCTTTCTGTGGGTGGGGGTGTGGCGGTGGGGCTTCACAGGGACATCCCACATGTCCTTCCCCGGGGGTGCAGCGTCCCCCCCTGCCCTCACCACCCCTCTGTCCCCTTTTCCTGCAGACGTGCCTGCTGATGCGGCAGCAGCACGAGGCCGCCGCGCTGAACGCGGTGCAGAGGATGGAGTGGCAGCTGAAGGTGCAGGAGTTGGACCCCGCGGGGCACAAATCCCTCTGCGTCAACGAGGTGCCCTCCTTCTACGTGCCAATGGTCGACGTGAACGATGACTTTGTGCTGTTGCCGGCATGACAGTTCTGCACCGGGAGACGTCACTGAACACTGGCACGGACGGAGCCCTCCGAGGTCGGGCGGTCGCGCTCACATTCACCCTTCCCGCTTGCTGATGAATCCCTTGGTCAGAGGAGGAGGAAGCAGCTATCGGCAGAAATACAACAAAACAAACAAACAAACAAACAAAAACCCAATCAGAAACGAAACAAAAAATTGCACTTTCTTCACAGCGCGGCCCTCAGTGCCGGACTGACGGCGCATCCCCTCCGTGCCCGGCGGCGGGCGGCGGCGGCGGGCGGTGCTGCAGGAGGTGCTGCCTGGGCACACGGCAGCGCTCTGCGCACGGAGAGGAGACCACGGGGGGGGCAGGGGGCGATTTTCTCTTCCATCCCGGGGATGTCTCCAAAAAGACTGAGTCGAAAGAACACACGGAGACCCAACCGGAGACAAAGGACAGCGGTGCCCACGGGCAGCACGGCGGTGCGGGCGGCGGAGCCCAGCAGTGCCCAGCAGCGCCCGGCGATGGGCGGCGGTAACGCAGAGAAAGGACTTTGCCAACTGTGTTTTTAATGGAGTCAAATCCATGTGGTTTATATATATATATATATTTTTTTTTTCCTTTAATCTTGGGCATTTCGTTTCTCTTTCTGAGAACATAACTTGAAAAACACTACAGAGCCAATACTCATATAAAGAAAAATTGTATCCCATAAATGCTGTACAGTTTTTATATACATTAACAATGTACTTTTGCTGCCTTCTAGATAATTTATTTTGCAACACATTACTGCACAGTTGTAAATAACTTATGTACTGTAACATCACTTTCAGTTATGTGTAAAGAAATAAATAAATTAATTAAAATTACCTTCATCTCTGCGGTCCGGCAGCGCTGCCAGGGGAGCAGCAGAGCCCCTCTGACCCCTCTGAGCTCTCTCTGCCCCCATTGCTGTCCCCCCCCCCCCGGCTCTCTGCCCCCCGGCTGGCACAAGGCGCAGCTGGCCCGTCCCGTAGCACCGCAGCAGCGGGGGCAGATGTGGCTCTCTGAGATAACGCTCGTTGTTATTCACCTCGTAAGCCCCACGGTGGCCTTGCTGCTGCTTTGCCCCCCCCCCCCACTGTTCAGCCCCCAATCCCAGCGCTGTGGGCATCGCGGGGCTCAGCGGGGGGGCTCAACGTCCCCAGTGCGGATATGGAACTTTTCCTTTTCTCCCCTCTCCCCCCTCCCTACTTTTCTCCCCGCTTCACCGTTCCCCCTTCGCTATTTTTCTGCCCCCCCCCCCCAGTCCCCGCAGCGCCCATCTCACGCACGGACCCCCCTCCCCTCCGCTGCGATCCCCGGGACATCGCGCTGCTCCAAACGCCCCGAACCGAACTTCTGTCCCTTGGGGGCGGGCGGGGGGGTGAGGGGGCAGAGCCCGGCCCAGGGGTGGGCACAGCGGGCGGTCCCCGCCCTCACCTGCGGGGCCGAACGGATGGCGGCGGCGTCGGGACCGGGACCGGGGGATGGGGGCGGCGGGAGCGGCGGGCGGCCGCGGGGCCGTCGGGCGGCGGGGGGGTGGGCTCCGTGCGCGGCGTTGGCGCTGGGTTGGGCGCTGGGCTGGGCGCTGGGAGTCGAACCTCCGCACCGCTGCCGCCCCGACCCCGCGCTGCTGCCGCCGCCGCTGCGCCGCCTGGCGGGGTCCGCTCTGCTCCGCGCCGCCGTGCCGCGACTCCGCGCCGGATGGAGCCCGTGTCAGCTGTACCGGTACCGCGGAACCGCCGCTCCGCCCAACGGCACCGGGCCGTGCACCCGCGGGTGGCACTACGCGATGCCCGCCGCCGGGCTGCGTTCCAATCTGGTCACGGAGGTCTGCGGGGAAGCCGGAGGAAGGGGGAGGGTTGAGGGGATTTGGGAGTGTGCCGGGGTTTGGGTTTATCGGGGCCGCTGAGTTTGAGGGGGATTCGGGAGGATCTGGGGGCGGCTCCGGGGTTGGGGAGGGGGTTAACAGGGTGTCAGGGATGGAGGGGATCCGAGTGTGGGGAGGTGTGGAAGAGTGCGTGGGTCTGGGGGACCTGGGATGGGTTTGTAGCTGGAGGGGATCAGGGGTGGTGGAGGGCTGTAGGGTTCCTTGAGTTTGTGGGGGTTTGGAAGGGTCTGGGGTGGGGGGGGCTGGAGCCAGAGAGGGAATTGAGAGGGTTCTGGGGGGTGTTCTGGGGGTTGGGGCTCTTAGGATCTATGGGATTTGGGGGAAACTGAGGGGTTGGAAGGGGTGAATGGTGTATGGGAGGTCTGGGGGGTTTGGAACAGAGGGGAAGCCGGGGTCCTTGGGAGCTCAGAAGGGAGTGGAAGGGTCATAGGGAGTCCTGAGTTCTGAGGGGATCCGGAGGATGTGGGGGGGGCCTGGGATTGGGGAGGGGTTGGAAGAGTCTGAGGGGGTTCGCTTCGTTAGGGAGGAGCTGAGGGGTTCTGGATGTGAGTGGGATCTCCAGAGTCCTGGAGCCTGGGGGGCTTGGAGAACCTGGGGGAATCCCTGCACTTTGTGGGTAGCTGAGGGATACTGGGCTGGGAGTTCTGGGGAGTTCTGAGGTCCAGGGTGGGTGTCCAAGGGAGCTCAGAGAGTCCAGAGGGCGTTCCTGAGGTCTGGCACTCCTTGGATGGGTTGGAGGGTGCCCAGAAGCCCCCCAGGCAACGGACTCCCACCTCCCTTCATAGTGGGACCTGGTGTGTGCCGCACGTTGGAAGGTGCCCCTGGAGCAAACCACGCACCTGCTGGGCTGGGCGCTGGGCAGCATCGCTGCAGGCATGGCCTGCGACAGGTAGTGGGGCAGGGGACTGGTGGGGTATTCCCTAATAGGACCCTCAGCCCACCTCACTCCTCCCACCCCCCAGGTTTGGCCGTCGTCCCACCTTCCTGGTGTCCCTGGGGCTGGCGGTGCCGCTGGGGCTCAGCGTGGCGTTGGCCATCGACTTTGTCATGGTGCTGGTGGCACGGCTGCTCTTTGGGGCTGCACTGGCCGGAGCTTTCCTATCCCTCTACGTGGCACGTGAGTGGGGTGTGGGCTGCTGTGGGACGGGGGATGCTGCGGGGTCCGGCAAGTGGTGTGCTGGGGAATGAGGGATGTGGGATGCTGTGGGATGAGGGATCCTGCAGGGTGCAGGATGCTCCAGCAAGTGGCGTGCTGGGGAGAGCAGGATGCTGTGGGATGCTGTGGGATGCTGTGGGATGCTGTGGGATTCAGGGTGCAGATGCCCCGTGGCCACGACCCCCACCCTGCACCGTTTGTCCCCACACCAGGTCTGGAGCTGTGTGACCCCCCGCACCGGCTGGAGGTGACGATGATCGCCGGCTTCTCCTGGCTGGCGGGAGAGCTGCTGCTGCCGGGGCTGGCGGTGCTGTGCCGGGACTGGCGGGTGCTGCAGGGCGCCGTGACGGCCGTGCTGGCGCTGCTGGCAGCGTGTTGGTGGTGAGCATGGGGGGAGCGGGGCCGGGCGGTGCCCGCTGCCGGCACACCCCGGCATCAAAGGCCGCGGGGCTCTCGTGCGCCGTGGGTAAACGTTTGCTCAGATCTCGAGCTGAGGGTTTCCAGGAACGGGGTGGGAGTGGCAGCGGGGGGTCAGTCGCTTTCTCACCCCGTGATTCTCCCCTCTCCCCCCGCAGGTGCCCGGCGCTGCTGCTGGAGTCCCCGCGCTGGCTGTTGGCCACGCAGCAGCTGGACCGGGCCAGGAGGACGCTGCGGGCGCTGGCGGGGAGCGGCGGGCGTGGGGCCGAGGAGCGGAGCAGCACCATGGCGGGTGCGTGGGGGGGCGGTTGGGACCCCCCTTCCCGACCCCGATGGTGCCGTGCCGGCTCTGAGCTCTGTGCCACGCAGAGCTGGAGGCGCTGGCAGAGCAGTGCCCGCAGCCCCACTACCACACCGTGTGCGAGATCTTCGGCACCAGGGTCATCTGGAAGAACGCCGTCATCCTCGGCTTCACCGCGTGAGCGCAGCGGCACCGGGCGTCCCCAAAACCACCATCCCCAACCCTTCCCATCACACCCCCCATCCCCACCCCGCAGGTTCATCGGCTCCGGCATCCGGCACTGCTTCACCCGCAATCTGGCCCCGCACCTCCCTCGTTTCCTGCCCGCATACTTCGCGCTGCGGGGCCCCGAGGCGGCCGCGTGCCTTTTCCTCTGCGTCACCGCGGAGCGCTGCGGGCGTCGCGCCGTGCTGCTGCTGTGCACTGTGCTGACCGGCACCGCCTCGCTGCTGCTGCTGGCGCTCACCCAATGTAAGGAGCCGGGAGGGGGAGGGTTGGGGGCGCTGAGGTTTGCACCCTCACGGCTCTCCCCCCCCGCACAGACCTCCTGGAGCTCATCGTGCTGATGCTGTCCGTGCTGGGGGTCACCGCCTCGCACGCTGTCACCATGCTCAGCATCTTCTTCGCCAGCGAGGTGCTGCCCACCGTGGTCAGGTGAGCGGTTCCCAACCCCCCAACCCGACGTCACCCCTCAGCCTCCTCAGTCCCCCCCCCCCCTCCACGCCCCAACTCTCAGCTCATTCTCCCCCCGCAGAGGCGCGGGGCTGGGCCTGGTTGTGGGGGCCAACCTGGTGGGCTCCGCGGCCGCCCCCATCGCCGCCGTCGCCAGCAGCCGCGGGTTCTTCCTGCACCACCTGGTGTTCGCCTCCTTCGCCATCCTGGCGGTGCTCAGCATCATGCTGCTGCCCGAGAGCCAGGGCCGCCGCCTGCCCCATTCCCTGCAGGAGGGCGAGAGCCAGCGCCGGCCCCCCCTCTTCCGCCGCCCCCCCCGCGAGGACCACCTCCCCCTGCTCGCCCCCCGCGGCATTCCCCACGACTATTCCCGCATCGTCCCCTCTGCCCAACGGGCGCTGGGATCGGGCCGCGGCCCTGCGGGTCCCCCCGCCGAGACATAGCCACGGCCCCCAGGGGGTTCCCAATGCCGCTTGGCCGAGGGGGGGGAGGCAAGCCCAGCGGTGGGTGCACGCAGACCCCCCCCCAGTGGCCAAGCGCAGCTCTGAGCCCCCCCGCTTCTCCGAGCCCCCCATCCCCGTGTGGCCCTGGGGCTGCTAAAGGGCTGCGTGCCCCCCCGCCCCCACGCCGCTGGGCCGGATCCTGCCCCGGGAGGAGCGCTGCTGGGAGTCCTGAGGCGGGGGGTGATGCCCCGGTGGGGGGGAGGGGAGGGGGAAAGAGAGGAATGCAGCGGGTGCTGACGTGCTGCCAATAAAAGTGCCTTTGTTTGTACACGGGGGGGTACAGCCGGGGGTGGGAGCTTTATTGGGGGTGGAGGGGAGACCCTCCCCAGCGCGGAGCCCGGCAGTGGCACCCGCTGCGCTCAGAGCCACCGCGTTGCCCGGTTGCCGGACGGGGTGGGGGGGTCCTTCACGGCCCGTAGAGGTCGGCCAGGCGGCGGAAGCGCGGCCCCCACTCCCGTAGGTAATCGTAGTCCTGATCCCCGTCCGTCAGGCTGGAGACGATGGAGCTGAGCGCGCTGCCCGCCGAGCCCGAGCCCTCGTAGTCGTAGATGAGCGCAGTGTCGTAGGGGGGAACGCTGGGATCGCTGTCAGCCGCCTCCAACCCCTGCGGGATACGAGCGGGGGGGGCGTCATCAGCCCCGTGGGATATGGGGCGGGCACGGGGGGGTTTGGGGGCAGCACCGCGTCCCACCTCGTTGATGAAATCCTCGATGTCGGAGGGGCCGCGGGGCGGGCGCCGGGAGGAGCCCGGGGGGGTGGCGGAGCGCAGCGGGGCGTCCCTGCGGAGTGGGGGGCGGCCGTGGGGCGGGGGGTGCCGCAGCTGGGTCAGATCGTAGGCGTCCTGCGGGGCGTGGAGGCGGAAAGGAGGTGATGAGCCCAAACCCCCCCCCCCCCCCCACCACCACCGCCCCGGCCCGGTGCCCCCACCTGGTCCTCCTCGCCGCCTCCCTGCTCGTCGTAGTTGAGCACGTTGTCCCGCACGTCGTCCCCCCAGCGCTGCAGCAATCCCCGGCGCTGCGCCCGGCGGCGGCTCCGGACCTGCGCGGCCCCCAGCAGAGCCAACACTGCGGGATGGAGGGTGGGGGGGTCGGGGGGAGGTGCGTGTGAAGTGGGATGCAGGTGAGGGGTTGGGTGGCGGGGATGGAGGTAAGGGGTTGG